GTTTGGCAATTTCAGTAGATTTCAGTATCTTAGTCTGATACACTACTGCTGTCTGCTAAGGAGAGAGTGATGAATGTATGTAGACTGAAGAAAGATTTACATCCATCATACCAGTTTGTTTAAACCATTGTTAACAACTAGAGACACAATCAGCAGCTGAGGATCAGCTTCATCAATACCAGGAAATTGGTGGAAAATCCTTACTTGAGATACAAAACCAGGAAACCATGCAGTTAAGCCAGTTTAATAATATTGTTACTCAGATAAAATGCTTTTTTCTCCCTACTAAGTTGTTCCAAAACAACTGCTTATGTATGTATATGTGTGTATATGTACATATTCTGACCTACTTCTTATTAAATTGTATTAAAAAAAGATTAATTATGCATTTGCATCAGCAACAACATTTTACAGTCAAATGCTGGATGACGGAAAGAGCTAGCTTACTTTCTCTCAAATTCCATGCCATGAATCAGTGAATTAATTTACCAGTGGATGTGGAACACAGTGTCATGAATCTTGTTTTATAGGCAGCCATCAGTGGTGTGCAGTGAAATTCTTCTAATGAGCAAGTCCATCAGACAGGCAAATTCCTCTGAAATGTGGTCATTGCAGAAAGTAGAATAAGTCCCAGTCCCAATTCTTGAAGACAGTACCTGCCACTTTTGAATTAAATGTTTTTATTGTTGTTGTGTGTTTTCAGAACACTTCATGACCTATTATAAAAAAGACTTTTATTCATGTCAATAATTGTGATGCTCAGTAAAATAACTTGCTTGAAAAACAGCTGCAGAATTTGAACCTACAGAAATGATTTCAGCAGAGATTCCTAAGCAATCCACCATTCTTACTGAGAATCTTAGACTTTGGTAGTTAGAAATAATGAAAAACTACAAGGTATTTGTAAATCTTTTCTATCATTTAGTATATATCTACCTGCAGTAAGAGCATCATCCTCAGACTTATTTCAGCAGAGTCTGAAGCCAGACAAAGGCTTGCACCATGCAGCATACCTCTAGAGAAGTCCCGAAGGGAGTGGATAGCAGAAGTCAGTCATTTGGCAAAGGCAGAGGAGTTACTGGTGCAACAGTGTGAAAAAGAATAGAAAGGTAGAACACATGAAAATCTATTTTCTGTTCATCTTCTAAGTATGAACTAAAACAGCAGCTATCCAACAGGAGATTGTTGTAGGACAGTACACTGAAATCCTAAAAATAAAACCTCTCCACCCCCTTGTTTTTTAAATAAAAAAAATATATATATCAGTTGTAATAGTATTTGCCAAACAGAGCAATTGCTAAAGGTGAACATTTGGTCAACATGTCAATACTGAAGGCTGACTTGCTTAGGACAGCAACTGTGCTTAAAACAGAAATTCTCTCTGAGACAAAGATAAGTACTTTAAAAATTGGTTTAGATGGACATTATTATTTACGTGTGTTTGTTAAACTCAAAGACCACAACATGGAACTAGAAAATACTTTTTTCTTGTCAAAAGTCGAGATGATCTGACATGAGAGTGCTTGGGCATGAAGCAGCCTTACAGGGTTTGGCCCCCAGCAAACAGCTTCAGAAAAAGTAATGAATGCCAAGGGACTCCGAGGGACAGGTGAGACTCCAGGATACTGTGATGACTTCACTACTATGTGAATATATATACTGACTGAAATTGGTTAAAATCCTGTAAAGATTCTGCATGTGTTTTGCACTTCAACTGTCATCATTAGGCTTTGAAAAACCTAGGTACAATGGTTCCAATTATTGGACTCAGAGAACCACCAAAGCTGAAGATTGGAATACATAACTCTGTGTACATACCATTAGTACCATTCATGCTTCTGCGCCTTATTGATGAACACGTTTCTGGTTCCCAAAAGCTTGGTGCCATTGTTAGATACAGAGCTGCAAGCATCATGCTTTATTTCCTAAGCCTGAGTTCCGTACCCGTTATTGCTCCTTATGGCAATTTTGGAGATGTGCTTTATTTAAATAAGCTTTTCTTCATTGAAATAACTGTAACAGATGTTTTATGTTCTATTTGTTTTGCTCTGTGGTAACGCTGTGGAGAGAGATGAAATTAGCTCCCCGCACAGAATATTTCTAGGGTGGAACTAAAGAAGGCATAGCATATGTCCAAGGGACAGTCAAGCATGTGTTCAAGGGGCAGATAGATTGGCAGTGCTGCATGTGCTCATTCTTTACTTGGTTTCATTGCTTTCAATAATAAGTGTGCATCATGTCACCAAAATCTGCAGGGCATCTATGTATATTTAAGCCTTGCATTGGTGATAATGGAACTCAATTAATAGTAAAGCTTATGAATAACTTATCTTTGTTCTCCTGAACCTTACTTCCCTATATTCTCCTAATATTCATACATTTTTATGTATCAATAATCTTTATCTACTGTACAGACTAATATACATCATAGTTAAAAGTGTTATCGAAGAAGGGTCACGTCATGTCTTTCTCTTCTTAATGCTAGGCAAGGTTAGAATGAAATTCTGAGGCCTTTATTAAAGCATAGTAATCGTTTATTTGACAAAATGTAAAAAATTTTAAAAAATAATCTTGTTAACAATTCCTTGAAGCTAGGTCATGGAAACTTCATTACATTGCATACATTTGGATAATCAAGGCTGCCCAGCAACATTTCTTCAAAAGAAAACAAACAAACAAACAAACCAGTATTAAAAAGAGATTTTCTAAGCTTTTTGAATACTGAGAAAATCCACTGTACAGTCTCAGTAGTGAAATCTGTCATGATTTTAGCCTTGCTTGTCATCATTAACAGAACGATAGATCCACCCACGAGTCACCAGCTCCATGACAAACCATGTTATATCAGAATATAAACTTTTCTCATCTAAGTGTATAAAGAAGTCAAGAAAATGTCACTGTTCCCAGACTGAAGTCTTCTGACAGCACAAAGTTAATGACACCACAACAATCTTTCTCAACAGATGACTTTAGCTGTAACTTTGATTTGAGAAACATGCTTTGAACACAGTTTATTCTCCAAAACATTAGTCATGAAAAGACATCTTTTCTCTGCTTTCCAAGTCTGGTTAGTTTGGTTGTTTCTCCATTTGAGAGCTAAACCGTTTTGAACTGAACTAATGAGGCTGAGCACATTTAAGCATGAGCGGCGATATCTTTCGCTCCATAATAGTGTAGGATTTCCTATGTGTATACAGCACATTTTTGTGTGGAGTATCTCGTGCCCCACGCACTGAGTGCTTTTAGTTTGAACTGCTTTTAGCAGAACTGAACGCTGCTTAGGTTGAATTATTTCAGCCTAGAATAAGTTCTAATGAAGGGCTTGGTTTTTCAAGGACCCAAGACAGTAAAATGAAGGCTCACACAAGCAAACTCAAAGCTGTCAGAAGGCTGACATTAAAGGACTGATGATGTCAGAAAACAGGAGACAGAGGATGGGCTGTGTTATAGAGTTGGGATAATCTGGAAAGTGCTCACCAGTAACCAATATTAAAAAAAAGTTATGTTTAAAGAACATAAAAGCAAACAGAGTTTAAGCCTCCTAGAAAAACTAGATTGAATGTTTCCACTGATAGTTCAGGCAGGTAAAGCATGGGTTGACAGCTAGAGAAGTGACAGGTCTGAAATGGTAAGCACTTCCATTCCTACAGCTTTGGGTGCTCCCATTCTGCATGTAGCCTTAGCTGCCTGAGAGGAGGACTGTGTTTCTGGCATATCTGAGTCCCCTCAAACTGTAACATGCTTATTCCTAGGACCCCGAGTTTCCCTTTTGCAGTAGAGGAGATAAAGCACAGAGAGATTAAACAGAGTTTGTGTGAGGTGGTTCTGGAAGTCTGTGGTAAGGGCTGGATGTGCCAATTGGATGTACCTTTCTGACCATCTGTCCTTTTTCCAAGTCATGACCAGGCCTATTTGTCATTTGTTGTCAAAGAAATAACTGCCAGTATCTATACCTGCTCAGTTATCATTAGCACCAGCTGTTGTTGCTTTTTCAAATCAACATAAAGAGTGTTCAGATCCCTACTGTGTGCTTCCATGGTTTTTGAACTGTGCTAAGAGGATCCCCATGGTGTGCTTTCCTTGTTTCTTAGCATTGCTATGAATCCTTGACAATCTGCATTTCTTCTCTGTGGGGCCATTTAGAGAGCCAATGCCACTCTCCCATTGCATCCGTATCTGCTTCTCCTTCTGATGCATATAAAGAGAAGTGCCTCTGTTTTTCACATCATTCACTCATGCCAGCTTGTCATCAATCACTGTATTTATGCCCATTCAATATTAAGTGGATGATAAAGGGACAGTATAACACAAAAAAAGCATAGCACCAGGAAAACATTCATCTGTGAGTTGGTAGACTGGGTGGTCATGTGTGGAGAATCGAAGGAAGTATCCCAGTGGAGTGCCTGCCCGATGACGTGTAGTTGCTTGGTGAGGGGCTGATTCTTCAAGCACTGATGTGCCATGAACACACTAATATCTTCATTTTCTGTAATGAGGACTTACAGTATCAGATTCCTGGTGAGAAAGGTTTCCTTCAGCTAACTGAAAAGGTGCCTCACCCCTCACTCTTTGTCCTGTAGGGGCAGTTATAGGTGATGGTTCAGGCCAAACCCTAAATGACACTATGCTGCAGACCTGTAATTCACATTACCAGTATAGGTGCACAGATTTAAAAGTAAGTGTGTGTGCTGGTATTAGAAGGATCTGTGTCTGAACTGATACACTGTGTGTGTGTTTGTGTGTGTGCTGTATAATTTTCTCTCAGTGCCACTGTAATTATCTGCTTCCATCAGTGTTTTCTTTCAGCTGAAATAACAAGGCTGAAAAATCCTCAGTGTATTATGGGAATGCTGACAGCTACAGTCAGTTGTTAATAATTTAGAGATGTGATTTACCCCCAGTTGATTTGTACCCTTAAAACACTGTATATAGTTTACCACAACTTTAAATGTCTGTCTTTTGTTCTTCTTTTATGTATTATTTCCTGTTGAATCGGGAAGGTGGAAAAGATGGCCAGCCTCTGCAACATACATGTCCGCACAGGTTGCTTCTGTAACACAGGAGCCTGCCAGATGCATTTGGGTATAAGCGATGAGGACATCCAAAAGAACCTGCAGGTTAGTTTCTGAATGAGATTATGTGATACATTGCCCTTGGAAAACTTACAAATTCAGTGACCCAGGCTATCAGTTCTGAATTTCACAAAGGATGGGAGATATGAGGGCGAGAGAGGAAAATCTGGCCCTAAACCATAAAGAAAATATTAGTAAATAGATAGATAGTTAAAGAATAAAGTAGTTTATCATATGTTGTGCTTTTGAGTCTCTGCAACTTTTAGAATTAAGGTGAGTTTGATTTGCTTTCTCTGATCTTTCAACTCAATTACCATGTTAAAAAAATGAACTTAAGTTCATTGAAACGAGGTGTTGAAACAAAACCATTTTATGGACCCAAAGCAATATACGTTGCTTTTATTTCATTCAAAAATACGAAGCACTGTGTTGCATCACTTAGGTAAGTATCATGTAAATATTACTGAACATTTTCATCAGGATAAGCCCAATGAAGAACGCATACTTACAGGGATTTTTCATCTTCCAGAAGTGGTATGATGAGGTAGTACAGTCAAGCAGTTCTTTTGAGACATTCTCATCAGCAAAAGACCTAAATGAGTTATTGACTACATTACTGTGCAAAGGAAGAGAGCTTTTATTCACATTATTTGCATATATGCTTTGTTTTTGCCTTTTTTTTTTTTCTCCCAGAAAGAGAGACTTATGTCCATAGAACAGTAACATTTCTTGCTTGAAAAAGCCTTCACTATTCACACATCCATTTTTATTGAACAGAAATGCATAAATAAATGAAATTATGGGGAAAAAAAACAACCTTCTGTGAAACTTAGAGCTAAATGTCATGTCCACTGTTGAGCTAATGTTAGGTGGGTGATCAAAGGGAGTTTCTAGCTTATCTCTCTGGAGGTGAGTGGCACTGACCTGTTTAATTGAAGGAGAAACTTCTGCTCCAACAAAGAGTTTTGCAGAATGCACACTTTATGAAAGACATATCAAATAGGAGGATATACAGACATCATCGTTAATGGTATTTGAGGGATTTTTCGATTTTTCAGCTTTACAGTTAGTTAAAACTTGTATTTTTCAAAGGAATTAATGTTAGGGGGAAGGGTTCTTCCATATGTACTGAAAGCAACAAGTTGACTGGATCAGCAAGACAGATTTATTGCAGATCACCATGATGAGGGATAGATGAGAGGACAATGAGGCTCACTGAGACCTCGTTGACTGGCAGAGTTCAGAGGGTTGTGATCAGCAGTGCAGAGACCAGTTGGAGACCTGTAACTAGCAGTATTTACCAGGCATCCCAGGCATTGATACTGGGCCCAGTCTTGCCAACATCTTTATCATTGACCTGGATGAAGGGATAGGATCCACCCTTAGCAATTTTGCTGATGATACAAAGCTGGGAGGAGTGGCTGACACACCAGATGGCTGTGCTGCCATTCAGTGAGACCTGGACAGGCTGGAGAGTTGGGCAGAGAAGAACCTGATGAAGTTAAACAAGAAAAAGTGTAGAGTCGTACACCTGGGGAGGAATAACCACATACACCAGTACAGGTTAAGGGCTGACCTGCTGGAGAGATCTGCAGAGAAGGATCTTGGTGACCTGGTAGACAGCAGGCTGATGATGAGCCAGCAATGTGCCCTCTGGGCCTAAAAATGGTATCCTGGGGTGTGTTAAAAAGAACAGGGCCAGCAGGCTGAGGGAGGTGATTCTCCCCTTCTATTCTGCACTGGTGAGACCACATCTGGAGTACTGTGTCCAGTTCTGGGCTCCCCAGTTCAAGAAAGACTAGGAACTTCTAGGAAGTGTCAAGCTGAGGAGTACAAAGATAGTTACGGGCCTGGAGCATCTCCCTTACAAGGAAAGGCTAAGAGACTGGAGAATATTCAGTCTAGAGAAGAAAAGCCTGAGAGGGAATCTTACCAATGCTAATGAATATCTAAAGGCTAGGAATCAAAGTGAATGGGGCCAGACTCTTTTCAGTGTTCCTCAGCAACAGGACGTGGGACAAGGGACACAAATGGGAACACAGGAAATTTGATACAAATCTAAGAATAAACTTTTTTTCCTTCTGGGTGACACAGCACTGGAACAACCTGCACAGAAGGGTTGTGGAGTCTCTGGAGATATTCAAAACCCCTCTGTATGCTTTCCTGTGCAACCTTCTCTAGGAACCTGCTTTAGCAGAGGGTTGGACCAGATGGTCTTTCCAACCTCTACAATTCAGTGAATATGCCACTGATTATATAAAATGGAACTGTTCTGACAGCGGATATAAACAAAACTCCCACAGAAACCAGCAGGCTAGAGATTTGGTCAGCTAACTGATATAATATCCCAGTTTAAATCTCAGTGAACTATGCAGATGAGACTGGAATTTATCTGGAGACTGATCTTGCTAACAGGCTATTCTGGCATATGCAAACTTTTTTTCTTGACATAAGTTTTTGAGAAGATCCTCTTGCTTTGGGGTAGAAGAGGGCAAACATTACAAAACAATATTTTTCCTTGCCCGAGTAGCTAATTAGGCATTTGGAATTTTTTGTCCTTTTTCTGCATGTATTCATGGGTTAACTGTGTATTTCCGAAAACAGCATTTCAGGTTAGAATTAACAGACTTTTGAATAACTATGTACAGTAAGGGGGAAGTAATGCAGTATGTCATAATAGCTCTGCTTTTCTTTCTATTTTAAACTAGGCTGGCCATGTCTGTGGAGATGATATTGACCTAATTGATGGACGTCCCACTGGTTCTGTGAGAATATCCTTTGGTTACATGTCTTCTTTTGAAGATGCACAGGCATTTTTGAAATTCATCATAGCCACAAGGTTCTCTAAGTCAGACACTGAGATTCCCTTTCAATCCTCTGCTACGCAGCTGACAACAGAACCTGCCCCAGATGACCACTCTTACTTTAACAGCGTCAATAAATTGTCTGCAAGAACGCATATTGCAGATAGAGAACATAGGAATAATCCATCTGGAACAGAGAGGACTGTCGGTTGGCAGTCACCGGAGTCTCAGTCGGAAAGCATAAGGGAAGCTCTTTCTGAGGTTGCTGTGCCAAAGATTAAAAGGGGTGGCAAGCCCATTACTGTCATCAATATTTACCTGTATCCAATCAAATCTTGCTCTGCATTTGAGGTATGTGCTTTAAATTATACTTATTTTATCCCCAACTATCAAACGTGTCAACCAGGAACAACATGTGCATTAGATATTAGGAAACAGCACGGGGTGCTCACTTTTCCATTTCTCCAATCTCTAGGATTGAGCCCTGCCTCCTAAGGCACTCTAAAGGATTTTCAATTAGACTGAAGGTACAAGATGCAAATGTGTCTTTGCTCCTCTATCGCCCATCACAGAAAAATCAGCGCATAATATGCAGTTTTGGGGAAAAAAAAAAAAAAAAAGTTGGCTTTGCAAAATTTGACTAAAATATAATCAAATAATTAGTATGCTTTCACTGAATGACATGTGATGGATTTGTAGGCATTGATGGGTAGGCAGCAATTTAGAAATAACTTGATTAACATGTTATAATTGAGAGGAGGTTGATTTACATTACAAAGAAATGTTATCATTAAAAATACATTTGCAACAGAAATATGACATTTAAGTGTTGCTGCACTATTTGAAAGTTCACTCTTTGAAGATTTTAATTGCTTTTTTGCCAAGTTAATAATATCATCACCTTAGCTGTGACTTTTTTTTAAAATAATGCATGATGAAATAGGTGTATGGCCCACACATGACCTAGAATGTGACTCTGCTTAGTACCATACTGAGAACTGATTTAATGAATGTCAATAATGGTATAACTTTCCCTGTGAAAACTTGCTGGTGTAGGTCACTGTCTCACATATGAATGAAAATTGGGGTCAAATCCAGTGACAAATCACCTGCATTTAAAATATGGATTCTCAGCTGTTTTCATCTTTTTTCTTTTTTTTTTTTTCTTTTTTCCTTAATGCAAAAAAAATAAAAAAGGGAGGAATTGAAGCAATGTCTTTGAAAGATTAACAAAACATCTGCATTTCTAAACTTGGTTTGCTTATGATGTTTTTAATTCAGAGGCACAGTCTTGAGCATTAAATGAGACCTGAACAAATAATTTTCCACCCTTTATTAACCTTCCACTAAATCAAACCATTTAAAAATCAAAGTAATCATGTGAGAATGTTTTAACCTTTGTTTAAATGTTGCAGTTATTACAGCTATATTGCAGAAGCCCACTGCAGAAACACTGAAATATGTCTTAGCAGTATTTGGGACCATTTGGGGTCAAATTCTATTTTTAACATGCAGGCTGGTGTTACAGGATACATACCAGAACATTCAGAGCCAGGAAGACTTTGAAGTAATTGTGCCCAGAAGCAGATAAACCATACCTCAGTGTGAAAGACAGCTTTTGTTTTCCCAAACTGAGCCAATTTTCCTTTCTTCAAGCTCTGTGAAGGGAAACTTCTCTAGGTAATAAATTAATAAAAAGCTGGTACACCCTGACAGACAGAATTGCAGTTTTAATGGAGGAGGAAAATCCCCATGCATAGTTCTTGTGCCAGGTATGTGTTAATGGGCCCAGCATGAAAGCAGAGTTCATCTCACCTGACCTTATCCCTCTAAAGCTAGATATTATTCGGTAAGCAGGAAGAGATGGATACCTGCTAAATCATCTTATCATAAAATAGGCATCTGCAGTAGGAAAAATGAATTGTCCCTAGATATTTCTGTCTTTCCATTGACTGCACGAGGTATCAACGGCTACTTGGATTGGATAGGCAGCAGCTAACACTAGGCTTAGTTAGTTTAGATTAAAAGTGCAAATTTAAAATTTGGAACTGCATGAGGTTTAGGTTTTCATGCCTAGAAATATTTTTGAAGTCTCTGATTTGATATTTTTTGGTAATGAAGCATCAGCTGTGTTAGAGCCCAATAGCTAAGCACTGTCAGATCCTGTACTGCCAAAGGGTAATGCCTAATGAAATGTATGCTTGCTTTAGTATATAATATTGAAAGGGACTGGAACTTCACTGTAGGCAGCATGCAGCTCTCCTCATCGTCTTCTCAAAGAACATGTTTTGTACATTTCCATTTAATCCATAGAAGATAACAATAGAAGTTGAATTAATAGATTTAATTAAAAATGGATTTCAGTGCATAAGGAGAACAGGCCAGGAAGTGAAGCCAAAAGTATATTGGAACATTATATGATTTTCAATACTGAAGTAAGCCAGAAAGGAAAATGTGTTTGCTTATGCAATCATCTTCCTGTCTACCAGGTGTTCTTCATATTTTTGTTACCAAAAGTCAGAGTAGCACTTTTAGGCACTATCTGTCATATATTTATAGACAGATTGAAAGATCTGCCAACCTGATTTTCTGCATGTAAAAGAGATAAATATGGCAGCTCACAGCCCACCACTTGTAATGAGCATTAAAACTCAAAGGCAGTTGATCCCATTCTTACCCAGACAGTGGCTTAGTTTCTTTCCAATGCTGAAGAGTAAAATAGATAGCCAGTGCTGCCAGAACCCAGACCACCAAATGCAGAGTGCATCATCCTCCATAATACTCAGCACACCATTACTACAACTTCAGCCTACGTCACCTTGGAAGGGGAAAATAACCAATCCACACACACTGGAATTTTAAGCCAAGCATGCTAGAGACGCCGTACCACAATTAAATGGGCCCAAGTCCTGAAAATCATTTTGCCTTCTAAAATAGTGATTATCATAAGATCTCTAGGCTTTATCATGAAAAGGCTGATTCCAGTAGAAGATTATTCTTTTGCCATTCTCTTTGTCATGCAGACTTCACACTTTACTGTCCCTTCGCTTTACTAACTCCATAAACTTCTGAAGTAATAATGTAGCTTGTAGTTCCCATGGTCTTCAGATAGAAGCCAATAATTGAAATTCAATTTCATAATATAAATTTAAAATAGCTTTAAATGTTTTGCAGTTGTTGGAAATTTAGAAAAATATTTCCTGTTAAAATTTGATGCCTGTATTTGTCAGTTACATAGTAGCTCCAAACCAGCTGATGTGAAAAAGTGGCTTAGGTATTAGGCTGCAATAAAATCACTCATCTTGTACTTGGATACTTGAGATCGGAATCTCAGATTCGTAAGTTCAAGTTGCAGTCTTCCAGTTGATGTGAAGGTCAGACCTTCAGCATGCCTTGTAAATGGGCTTTATTGGGAAGTACACGATCAGATTTGTTTGCCTAAAATAAAATGTCTAGTGGAAGATTCCACCTATGTGTGCAAGACCTCATGCATCTACCAGTGAAGCCTGTCCCTCAACTTGTAGTTTGCAGTATAGATGACTTAATTAGTAACAGAAGGACAAATTCAAGGACATGAGTGTGAGCTCACACCTGTCTAATCTCCTCTTTTAAGTCACATCATCTCCTCTTTATCTAAACTATGAGCTAAAACTGTGTTTTAGTGTAGGAGGTGATTGGCCTCCAGTGAAAATGAGAGTCAGAGTACTTTGGCATCTGGCAAGATAAAACCTTGCATTAAGGTATTCAGCCTACTGCAGACTGGTTAGCTCCTCCTGTGTGCATGTTTCATGAACTTTTCCTGGCCACAGGACTGTCTCTGTTCAGTTACGTTCCATGGATTTTGTGCATATGGCTTAGGAACTAGAAGGCAGAATATTCTAGCTGAATGTCTTAAATGTGTATTCACTTTCCTACAATTATTTTATTAAATGGAGAGAAGTAGGAAAGAAGAGTAGCCTCTGTCCCTGACCACATTTTTCTTCTTTTCCAACATAAAAACATATTTTAAACATACATTTTTAAACATGAACATCTCTCATGTCAATGAATCTTGCATAATTACGTAGTGCAGTGTGCCTAGTAAAAAGGTTAGGACTTTAAACATTAATAACTTTATTATTCTTGCAGTAGATTTCAGAAGATAAAAATTGCATCTCAACGCAGAAAACAAATTAGCTTTTAATCAGAAATACAATGCAAGTTCTTAGTAATCAGTAGATAAATTATATGTAAGACCACTAGCATTTTTAAACTTGCATAATTTAAAAGCTGTTCAGTGCTTTCTTTAATGTGCCTGAAAATTGTGTTAGCTTTTGTGATGACATTACAGTGGACTATGGAAAAATGCAGCCCAAAACGCTTTAGAGAAAATTCTGAACAAAACAAAAACATGTTTTTGGAATGAAAATATTACAAAAAGAAAAATTGCTAAAGAAGATAGGATAATGCAATGTACTGGTTGTGCTCTGTGCATTGAGCTTACAGGTATATTTGAATGTTGTATGATTAGCTCACCTGCCATGCTGGGAATGAAGTTGTGTGCATGCAGTAACCAGTAAAGACATGATGTCCATGCTTCTCTCTGTCCTTCACCTTCTAATTTGTCTCAGAAGAAGAGATGGTCATGCAGTTTCAGGGAATTGATGTAATACACTATTTCTTATTATGATGTAAGTTAGCCTGTTTTATTTCACTCTGCAGTAGTAAGCTTCCCTGGCTGCTTTGCTTCACTCTTTTAGTTACCTGATTATAGGTATATAGCGCTGTTTGAGTGCCCTACCTTGCCTCGTGCTGCCTGTCCTCCAGGATGTGCGTCTCTTGTGCAGCCTGTGTGTTATTAGCTGATTTTGGGCAGACATGTGGGACGTAATCCAAGGGAGCCAAATTGAACCACTCTTATTGTGCCTCTAACGATGTCCTTTATTTGAACTGCTGTACTTAAGTTGCTTGCAATCACTGAACAATCCCTTCAGCCTCTTTCAAATAATGGTGGAAGAGGGTCTGTGCAGATTGAAAGCCAAAGTACTGGAGAGAATAGCAATTCCACACTCATCTCCTGTATCAATATTAGCAGCAAATCAGCTCTATTTCATGATCATCTGTGACTCCCTGTTCAAGGCAGAGTACACAGTTATTTTCTTGTTGCAACTTTAATTATTGGAGCAGACATGCAATACACTAAGTTGAACTGTAGAGGGAAAGTAGGGCACTTGACAGTTTGCTCAGGACATTCATGAGAGGCATGGGACTTACTACTGGGGACATTTGTGTATCATTCTTATTATGATAGCAAACAACCAGAGGAACCAGAGGAAAGATGGGCTCAAGACCTTCAGTTGTGTGCTGCATCTCAGAGTGGAGCCTGAAGCTGGCCCAAAGTTGAAGCAAAACAATTGAATGTTACAGTTGGGTGCTAGGAATCACATTTTGGGGTTCTTCCTATAATTTTCTGCTCTTTTAGTTTATTAACTATATTATGTCTTGCAAATCCCTTCATGATCTGTATATCCATGACAGGATGTGTTACTGATAAGTGATCTTCTGTTTTGGAAAGGAGATTTGTTAGCAGGAAATTCTTGCAGCTCTCAGATGATCACCAGCTGTTCAAAATGTATTTTGTAATCTAATTACAGGATAACCAAACAATACAGGCATCTCCAAAGTATAATTTACAGCAAGCATAAAAAGCTGTACTTCAGCTGATATTGCAGTGTTTGAGCTGTGATTCTTCTCCTAAAAAAAAATAAAAAATAAATAAAAAAGTTCAGATCTTTTAGGTGCTGATATAGTTCATAGAATCATAGAATGGCCTGGGTTGAAAAGGACCACAATGACCATCTTGTTTCAACCCCCTGCTAAGTGCAGGGTCACCAACCACCAGACCAGGCTGCCCAGAGCCACATTCAGCCTGGACTTAAATGCCTCCAAGGATGGGGCATCCACAGCCTCCTTGGGCAACCTGTTCCAGTGCATCACCACCCTCTGAGTGAAAAATAGTTGCTGGGACAATGCTGTTTCAGATGGCATGCCAGACCTAAAGATTTCATTTTTGACTGAGTTTTTATCCAGACTTACTTCAAAAACTGCCAAAGAGTGTTGTAAATCATGTTGATAAAATACATTTCTTTAATTTTTCGATGTATATTCTGTATTTCATGCAGTTGATAACTCATAGGGTTGATAGTGGGAGGCTAGTTCAGCTTCAGTGCTCTCAGTTTCCCATTTCAGCTCATCTTGAGTGCCTGCCCTCAGCTCTCTCCAGCCATGCTCTTGATGGCAGTCTGTTGCTGAGAACTTTCCAAAACCTGAAAAAGTTTGTAAGATTGGGGTGCTATGGCTTCTGTGGTGTTTTGGAAAGAGCACATGCTAAACAAAATTGCGACTTTTAATTAATATAACCAGTGCTTCAAGCCATGTTTTCTTCAGAGCATCAGAATCTCTCAGCATTTTTTTGCTAAACCTGGTTTCATGTGGAAAGTGCTAAGCTTCTCTACAAGAATTCAACACAGCTCATCTGTACTTAACTTTTCTCCATATTCAACTGTGACTAGAAAGCATATGTCAGTGGAAACAATATGTTTAAATGCCTAGCTTTATGTTAAAATAATGGTATTAATATTTTAGCATTCTGAAGGAGAAAGCAGTTATTAATATCGCCCAAAGACATTACTAAAATTGCTCTCTTTTTTTTCATTTTGAGATTACCATCTGTGTAGCATCAGTAACAGATGTTCTTTTCACCAGAAAAATGTACATGAAAGCAAGGACAATATGCCTGTGTAGGCTATTGTAAAAAAAGAGCATTATAGAATCAGTGGAAGAACAGCTCACAGAGAAGATCATGTTTTGTTTCAGGAGGATTTGGAAAACTATTATGCTCTAGCTGAAACAGAAACTTCAGCAGTGAATATTTTCTCAGAAAATGGTTCCATTTAAAAAAAAAAAAAAAAAGTGGAAGTTTATTCAGAGTTCTAAATTTCATGTTTTCCTTGCTTTCTGCTTCTTTTTTTCCTTAGTTCATACAATTCACACGAAACCTCCATTCTTTGTGAATTAAAGTTGTTAAGGGGAAGAGGTCCTAAAATATCTGAGTATAAAATTAAAAACAGTTTTCAGAGTGTTTCATTGATTATTTACTGCATTCCTGCGGCTCTGTTAAATCGAAGGGTGTGATAATATGCAACAAATTAGAGTAACTCCATTCATTTCTGTCAGCTTCTTGCAGTGAGAACTTGATCTTTGATTTAAAGTTCCTGTTATAAAGGCTGATGTCAGCTTGCAAAAGCTTTTTTGATTTCAAGGAATTTCATTATTGGTTTCTTTTCCCTATCTTTTCAGCATGAATATGTTAATACAACTAATATTTTCTAAACCTTTTCATCCCCTCCTGATGCTTTTTCAGGTTACAGAATGGCCGGTAGGAAATCAAGGTTTGCTGTATGACCGTAATTGGATGGTTGTAAATCAAAATGGAGTGTGCATAACTCAGAAGCAGGAGCCAAAGTTGTGTCTTATAAATCCCTCAATTAGTCTGAAGCAAAAGATTATGGTCATTCAGGCAGAAGGTAATTGAACAATATCCTTTTTTCCCCTTTCTTACTGATGTTAAACTTGCATGCAGAAACACCTGTGTGCATGCACAGAAATACTGATTACTGTGTATGCATACCAGCTGAACAGACATCTGCTATCAGCTGCAGGTAAAGAAGGCTGAGGTTGGAATAGCCCTGGGTAGTTTCCTAGCTTGTTGTTGGGATAGGTAGAGAGCAGATAGCAAATCCGTATGCGCAGTCGTGAAGTGAATGCTTCGGGAAGGAAACGTGATTTGATAAATGTGGAAATCCATTGACTAATCTGTCCCTCCACATCATGAAGGAGAGTTCACCAGCCTGAAGGGACTGTCGCCGCTGTGAAGGTAAAGGAACAGGAGTCTAACATCAAACATCTAGGCCAAAGCCCTTCCCATGTTTTGCTCTCCTCTTTCCTCCAGCAGCTATGGGACTAGAGGGGTAGAGTCTTCAGTGGGAATTAATATGAATTAAGATAAGAACCAGATAGTACTAAGCTCAGTTAAATGCTCTCACTAGCAGGCATGTTTGGGCTTCTTTTGACTCATCAAAACCCTCTTTATTATCTGCTGAAGGGAAAAAAAATGTGAAAACTTTATGGAAATCTTTATGGAGAGCCCCTTGCTACTTGGGGATACAAATTATTTATTTTCCTAACAGTGCTATTAGCACTCAACAGTCGAACAGGTTTGTATTCCACTGAAGTCATTATTAATGCCAAGCTTGCATGTGGCTGAATGGTGTTTATCATTTCCCTTGTGTCTTACATTTACTCATCCTGTATGTTTTAACTGTTATTATTATATGTGTTCTCACTTTACACAGAGAAAAACAAGGAAACTTATATTCAGATTTTTAACCCCTTATTAGAACTCCATATGAGTGGTTCTGTAACTACAGCCTCCTTTCTGTTTGTACAGTACATTTGTTGTCCACTCCAATTGTCAGGCCAGCTAATTTCTTTTGTCATGTTTATCAAATGTACATTAGAGTATTTCTGCTATTTTTTTTAACACTTTTTGTGTGTTCTAGATCCCAAATACAATCTTGTTTTTATTTAGGGATTCCAATCCAGCTCTCAGGGGGCTCTCTGCCCCCCTCCAGGCACAAGCATTCCTTTCCCTCTGGACATTTCATTATTGGAAAAAATTGTTTATAGCTATTTTATTTCAATATGGTTTAGTATTCCCTACCCTCGCTGTCCAACAAAATAAATTTGTCAGTGTGATTCAGTGTGACAGTAACTACTTCAATACCTTTTGCCAAATCCTTCCTGTGCTGAGACTGCTTCAGGTTCTTTCTTTAACCCCGTGTGTGAGCTGTCTAACAGCCAGCTCTGGATGGACAGGCAGATCAACTGTCTGACCAACCCAGAGGTGGATCCTGCTGTGACTGCTTGTGTTGCTGTTCTCATGGCTGTTCCTTACTGTGGTAGAGGGAGGGAGTTTTTAATTTTGAGAAACTGCATCTCTGGGTTTTGACAGTTATTTTGGTAGTCTGTGTGGTTGTTAGCAGGGATTTCCTGTTCTATTTGACATGAAGGGTACAACAAACCCCCACTTTCACAAGACACAGTTTGAGAAAACTGATGGTAGTTTAAATCAGCTCCCAAATAGAAAGATAACTTTTTATATATTGATGTAGGGTTGCTTCCACTGAAACAATTAATGATGGAGCTCCCAGCAGCTCAGGGCAGGTGAGTTTATTTCCAGAAGTCATATTGCTAGAGCGAGAATAAAGGAGAATCTTTTTTCTCCTGCTCCGCCAAACACATAGGGGCACAAACAGCACTGGGCTGGTTCCTGACACATAAAAACAGAATTTGCTTGCGAATACATTCCTGTAAAAGGCTAATCTCTCTCTTTACACGTTAGCTAACAATCAGCATTACTCTGGCAAGTTGTGACAGTTTGCCACCGCATGGAGAGAGAAATTTTAAGTGCTATGAAGGCCTTTTAAAACACTGGAGTAGAAAGATGCTTGCAAAACTGAACAACTAATTACGCTTTATGGAGTTTATTCTGCCTTCAAATAGTCATGTGTTGCTGCCAATAAAAATAATAGGAATTATACAAATACACTGCTGAAAGAATGTACATGAATAGTTTGTATTTCAGTCTATTGAAATAACAGACCTCTAATTTTTCTCATTCACTGAAAATAGGAGCTATAAAGACAAGAATATTTTTTTATATATTAATACTGTGAGCACATCTGTGGATCTTATTATCAAGCAAATGACCATGGAGAATGAGCTTTTACAATTTAGTAACTGGCAATATTCTGCTTTTTTTTTTTTTTTTTTTTTGCCTCAAGATAGAATAAAATTGTAATTAACAATGTTTAACTGACCTAAAACTCTCTCTAAAATGTGTATTGTTCAATAAAAATGCGATTCACTTGTTTATAAAAGCAAGGCTTTTTAAAGCCCTGAGACTCTATTTTAAGAAATGTTGTGAGTATGCCTTGTTTAGAATTTTATTTTAAAAGATAGTAACAGATAAGGACACATATAGTGTCCTTTCAGGTGGCTTGGAGCTAGATGATCTGTAAGGTCCCTTCTAACCCAAGCTATTCTGTGATTCTATAATTGTATGAATCAAACTTTTCCAGAAGGAATGATGCTTATGTTTAATTATTTCAAAGTACAAGAATTACGGACCACATTTGTCGTGGTCCGTAAGTTGATAATAATGTCTTCTTTTTTGGTTGTTGCAGGCAACTTCAATGCATGTACGTAGGTTGTTCAAAAGTAATGCCTCCTGTTCAGTTCCATGGAAACTGCAACAGGTACAAAGAGCACGATAACACTATTTGCAAGAGCAAATTCTTAGCTACAAAACACTGTTTTTCAACATAGTCACCACCATTAGCTATGCATTTTTGCCAGTGATGAACAAGAGCCTGCCTAACATACTTGTAAAAAGTTGCATTGCCATCCGGAATGTGGCTTGTCTTTCACTGTGCTCACATTCACTTGTTGATGGCCTCCATCGACATTCAACAAGCGTCAGGGAATGTTGTGGGTGCCATTCTTTGCATATGGAGGAATTCAGTGACACATTTATGCTTCATACACCTTTCCATCTCAGACACCATTTTGTCAGAGTGCCCCACTGCTGCCATCTGTTGCAAAGCAACAAAATGCAGTGGAATACGGGTGGGAACATTCAGTCTCTACTGCCATATCACCAACATTCACCTATGATATATCGTGGGCCAACATCATAAAATAGGAGGCATTACTTTCAGAGCAGCCCTTGTATTGCTTGAATGTTTTATTTTTCTAAATGAACCTAAATTTTCCTCCTTTGTCTTTGCTTCTGAGGTATCCCAACGTTGCTAGCTAAGTAGAGAATGGGATTCTCTCTGTACTGAAAACTTGCAGGAACTGGAGCTACAGCAGTTTTTTGCTACAGCAAATCTGAACTACATTTCATTCCTCTCCTTGCAATAAAAAAAAATGATTTCACCATGTCAAAGGGCTAATAGAGCTTAATTTTTGTTTGTAGGACAAATATATAAGCGGAAAGTAAAGAGTGAATTCATGACGTGCCGGTATAAAACTGGAGTACTGGAGATCAGATTCTTTGTTGGTTTGTGTTGCAGTATAATAGAAAATAGTTGGATTCATTGCAGCCACATAGACACTTTGTTCATTGCATAGGATTATTGCTTTCAATTAACAGATAGCAAAGCTGTACAGCTTTATTTTTTCTTTCTACTGAACTACAGCAGCTATTCCATCTCTTTCACATCCCATTCCTGATAAAAAAAACTATGGAAAAAACTTTTAACATATGTCATTACCAGGGATTCATCACCTTGTTTAAGCTCAGAAATGGATACATGTGAATAGTTGTCTATTTGTGGTATCTATAGATTTTATCGTTACTCCAGTTATTGTAATTTAATGTCACATTGTATTTCTTTTCATGTACAGGCTATGCTTATATTTTCTTTTCCGTGCCCCATCTTTCTGTTCACTCCATCCCACTGCTCCAAAAGAAAATACAGCAGTGATTAATCATCTCCTGATTTGCTAGAGAGAGCAAAACAGTGATAAACCCATGCTTTCAGCAGAAGCCATGATTGAGGCAGTAATTCTGTGCCAGTTATATTGCCTGAGATTCACAAAAAATGAAGTTATTCAAAGCTGAAGCAGTGTATTCCTCAGCGTGGCTTGGGTACCAAGGTCATCTGCAGCCTTTTCTCTTTGCATTGTCATTTGGAGCCACCTACAGGCAGAGAATATAATTCTAGCAAAAAGGAAGAGAGGATTTTTGTCGCAGAGAATGTGGGAGGCTGCTGTGATTGTGAACAGGTGCAAACATAGGCATTTTATTCATTATTGTATGATTCTACATAAATGTTTTTTAATTTGGTTTTCTCTTTATCTATCTAGGCATGGATCCAATATCTGTATCACTAGAAGAAAATATTGGAAAAGAGGCTGTGATCTGTGAGAGTAAAGTCTGTTCACACAGGTGAGTGAGAGCAGAGAGGAAACCAAACCAAAAATCATTGCAGTAAAACTAAGAACATTATCAGATAGACACTAAGGGGCAAAGTCCTTTAATAAAAGTGAGGGAAGATAGAAAGCAATAAATGTTCAGTGAGTTAGGGGGCCAGGAGAGGACAGTTTGAGATAAATAATTTGGCATGAACACATGTCTGGTAGAAAACAGTAAGTAACAACATTAATGAAGAGGGAGTTAAATGAGAAGGTTACAAGAGACTGATGACATGGCACTAACTTGAGTAAGAGAGATCTTTGTTTTACATTTTCCAAGGATGAGAAAAGGGAAGGATGTCACCTCTTGCTTCCAAATGTCAAACAGGAACCTCAGCAGGACTCTAGAAATTCAGCTCATTCATTTGACAGTAATGATGCTGGCAGCTTTGCCCATTTCTCACTGAACTGATTCAAATTTGCTAGAACCCACTGAAGTTAGAAACAGCTTTCCTTATATGTACAAGCCTTTTTAATTTTGTTTTGACCATCCATGTTGATCAGTGTCCCTTTAACAAGCCTAGGAGGATTGCAGGTGAGTATGTGAAATATGATCAACTCTAAATCAAAAGACTTAGCACCTCAGTGAAATATAACATTATGAATAAATTAATTTCCTATCAATGAATTAAGCATTTATCCATTATATTTGCTAAGTACATCCCAGTACCAAAAGTTTTTCTGAATGACTGGCAGTGTTCCAGATGCCTTCCTAAATTATATTTGCATTTATTGCTACATTTGTTTTCCCCATGTCTTTTGGTAACCCCAACTGAAAGAATAATTTACAGATTCCTTTAGTCTTTTGACCAATGTATGCAGGTTATTTGTAACCCTGGATTGGCTTTTATGAGGGTAACATAAACAAGCCATCAGAAGTCCTGGCCATTTTCCCAATGGAGCCATGGAGGAAATGATCTTCTCCTTCTTTTCCACTAGTTATTCAGATGGTGATAAAGAGGATTGTTGTCTCAGAATAATACTTTCCTCAGGTGGTGGAATTCACCCAAGAGTCATTTGTTTTAACCATCTGTCCCACTTCCCTTAGTGTTGATTCATCCTTCGGCTCCCCATGGTTAGCCCATCTATTACAGGTGCTGCTGTAAAATAGCCTAGGTTGTCTTTTTCTCTGTGTCTATATGTTTTGTTGTCATGCCATATATTACAGTATGTCTTTCATGTCAGTGACTGTGCTATTTTAATGCATGAAGCGGGAAATTTTTGTGGGAGACAGCTTAGAGTTCTGAGGAGGAAGAAAAGGATGAAGTGGTGAGGAAAGGGGAGATACAAGACAAAGACTGTGATAGGCAAATAAATAAGGCAGTAAATAAAGCTAAATGAGTGGACAAAATTCATGAGGCTCCCCACATTCTCAGAGATCCAACACTGATACCATGTTCCCATGTTTCACAGGGGAGCCTCCAGGGCCTAGAATTGAGAAATAGGAGCAAAACAGGGCTTTGCACACATTGGAGTGACGGGGCTTTTTAGTACATCTAACAGAGAGCAGATGAAAGTACTCATAGAAGCTAGTGTTAAGTTTATGGGTGCTGCAGAAAACTCCAAGTACTCAGGGTTAGTGCTTTGCTGAAATAGGCAGGAACACAGACACGGTATCAAAAAAGTCAAGGTAAGGATATTTATGATAGAAGAAGACAAAGGTATAGTTAAAAACAAGGTGAACTGAACCTGTTATGGGTGAATATAAGTATTCTATCCCTTGGGATCAGTATTCAGACTTCATCTGTCCTTGTTTCTTGTTCTATAAATTACCAAGCCAGAGGGACCAGCTGTAAGGCACTGAAGCTGAATGACATAATAATGCAACGAGTGGGGAGCTCAAGGCAGACAGCAAGTAAAATCTGAGGACGAGGCCCCGCTTTACAAACTGTCTGACATGCTGCAAATGAAATGTAATACTGACAGATGTAAAGTAATACTTGACAAAAATAAAAACAAACAGAAAATGAATGGACTTGAATTACAACAGAACTTTGAAAAGGACCTTGAAGAGACAATGGTCCTTGCTCAGAAAATGGTCTGGCAATAAGGGAAAGCAATTTGAAAACCCTGGAGTCTTGAAATACAAAAACCACATGGTGACATTTGATGAACTATTCAGAATGCTGTGCGTCTCTAACTTAGCTACTGTGACTCAAAAGAGAAAGCAAATAAAAAAGAGGGACAAATTTTCATCCTGATTTATGCAGTATTACATTCCAGCAGGCAGCTAAGCAGTTGGCTCAGCAGAAAATTGAAATACCTCTAGCACCTCTGTTTGGGTGGGAAAAACTATTTGGGGAATTTGTTTCTCCTGTACTGTGATCATGAAAGATTCATGTCTTCTCATTAGCTGCCTTCTCCCTAACACAGTGAGCAGTGAGGACACAAGAACTGCTCACTTCAGGTTATGAATATCATGTGGAGATTCACCTTTTGTCCCCAGTTCTAGCCACAGTGCCATTTTTTCATTTCAGCTTTAGGACATCATTGACTAAATGCATCAGGTGGGCATCTGTCCAGTCTCAGACTGGGGAGACAGATGCTCAGCTGCATCTCAGTAAAAATTCAGATCAGCAGCTGAAGGCATATCTGATCCCTGCAGGATTATAAAATCTCTTGATATCACTTTTCCTGGCTTTCTACCTGTCCAATTTGATTGAACACACGGTACATTTCATAAAGCCAAGTCAATTCCTCTCTCAATCTTAGGGCTTAACATCTTTTACCATGTGGAGCTGTTTTCTTGTTTCACAAAGAAGAGAGTCACCATTCAGCTTTTTTTGTCTGGGTAGGAAAGCAAGGTGAGCACAGGACCACTGCTACTTCACTTTCCTTATTACAAGAATCTTGCCTAGATGGTCATGAGAATCTACATTCCTCTCACCTATTCATGGCACTTAACGGTTAGACATCAGTCAAAATGTAGTTAAAAAAACACACCTGGAGTAAGAGTCGTCCCATCCTGAGATCTGATATAGATGCAAAGTAGTTATTTCTTTCTATTTTCTGTGAGGGAAACCCAGACAATTAGCTAAAACTAGATGCCCTGTTTTTAGACAATTGAAATGAAGATGACTCTGGGCCGAGGATGCTAATTGCAAATAGGTCTGATCTGTGTACTTTCTGAAATGAGAGCAGTGATCTAAAAACCCTGTTAGTAGAGCTTAGATGCAGGTAAAGAAGGCAAATGTTGCGTAACTCACTAGACAGATTACTAGTAATAGGAACCATCTTTAGGTTGAGAAAAACCGCTACATGGGTTCTACTAGTGGAGGATAAAGTACATACCAGTGAGTAACTTTTCCATAACACTTCACTGTAATGCTTTAGTATGGACTACCAGTTACTGTACCTCAGAGTCATTGTCTTGTGAACCACAATTACATAATAGTTTATTCTGCGATAATTGTTGGTCTGATATACCAAATTAGATCTCATGAATATTAAGACTAACAGAGTAGAGCTGAGGAAATTGGGAAATAAAATTATACAGAATAAGCATCTTCGTTATTTGTCTTCAGTTTTGCAAGTTAATGTTTTGGTGATCTCATGATAGGGTGAAAACATATGACTGTGGAGAAAGAACTGCTGCCTGGTTCTCTACATTTCTTGGTCGTCCGTGTCGCTTGATAAGACAAAGTCCAGATGGGAAAAATGACGCGCAACACAAAAATACAAGAGGTTTGTTGTCAATCTTAAAAAAAAAAAAGTGGTAGCTCACGTAGTAAATATGGAGTCATTGACTTAACACTGAGTATAAAATTTCCTTGATAAAAGGGGCAAGAGTCATGAGATATTGATCTAGTAGGCTTCTATGGGTACATTTATACCTGTGCTCTGCTTTTGCTGCCCTTCTCTTGCTTTCATCTGGTGAAAATGCACAAATACCTCCGTCTTTCTTTTTTATCATCACTACAATGATTTTATCTGGAAATCCAATGATCATTTTGAGAAATGGTGATGAAAAATCTATAAAAATAATGTATTTTTATACTTCTTTTTTTTTTTTTTAATAAAAGCAATCAAATTGAAAGAGCACTGAAAACCCATAGATGTTGCTGTTGTAAATGATTTTAAAACTGGTAAAATCTCGGCTGTATGTCAGTTTCTAAATGCATTGTATCATTACAATTTGCAGTTTTGAGAGGATTCCTGGAATCTTTCTTTAGTGTCTGGAGCCCAGTGAGAAATGTTTTAATGAGAAAGAATAAGAGGTCAAAGGAAAAATGAAACTACTATTATAGTCTTCCTGATTATCCATCACTGTATAATACAGGATTGATTTTTGGTAGGTCTGACATGTGCTACAAGCATCTCGCTCTCTCTTGTGAATGAAGCTCAATACCTCCTGATAAATGCAGCCAGCATTCTGCAGCTGAAAGAACATGTTGCTCCAAGGTAAGATTCTTTTGTCTTCAAATATCTTTCAGCTGTCCTGGATTCCAGAATCTTGCCAGAAGATACCATTATAATTGTTTTATCTCAAAATTTAGAGGCATGTACTTTTCAGTGTTCAACAAATATATAGGTACTAAACTACTGTAGTTACTCACTCCTGAAATGCTTCTGAAAACTTGAGTTAAATACTCAGATATAAACTGCCTACCAGTCATCTTTAGGAGAACTTTTAACAAGCCTCTTGACAGTTGGTCTGATGCTGGGGGACCATTAGGAATCAGTCAGCTTCTGTTTGTGGAAAGAATGTGGATAAGTTAGTTTTCCTTAACATAAGTAACCTGTTAGATGAAAATATAAAGTCTTGTTACTTACTGAAATACTTCTTCCTATAGGAAAGTTTCAGATTTAGAGAAACGTTCACAATAGAAATTGTATGGGAACTGCTGAGTCACGGCCTGAACCTCTGATTAATCACCTGAGGCGAGCCGTGAGTCAGCCAGAGGAGCAGAGGTGAAGGCAATTCACCTGTGCTCCTAGACCTATTTAAGAGCTGGCTACCAGAGGGGAAGGATCTCTTCTGGAGATCACCTCTCTTGGTGTTTTGTGGTGAGCTCAGCTGAAGGGTAAGCTCTTCCACTTATTCTCTTTTTGTGATCGTTGTCTATTTTGCCTAACTCTCTTGATTATATTGTGATTATAGCATCTTGATATCTATTGATTATACAATTATATTGTGATTATAACATCCTGATATCTATTGATTATACAGAAATATTTTAGAACTATTTGCTGGACTGTGCTTACTTTGTTTATTTATTGAATTTTGTATTACTGTACAGAAGTGAGAGATAATATTACTGTACAGAAATGAGAGATAAAGGCAGCAAACAAAACACTTCAGCTAGACTGGGATTTAAAGTTAAGACACCCAACGCTAATTATATTTTCATAAACTGAAACTATTTCTCGAGTGTAACAAAGGACAGGCTGGAATTCCATCATTGTTGTTTCTTCCATTCTTCCATACCATATATGTTTCTTCTCTGAGCTCATGTCCCCCTTTCCTTGTTTCACCAAACTATTGTGTCTGCTTGGAGACATCTTCTTTCCCTGTAGTCACCCACCTACATGTCTCTCTGCACTGAAATTCTTGTTTATAGAATCATAGAATGGCCTGGGTTGAAAAGGACCTCAAAGACCATCTAGTTTCAACCCCCCTGCTATGTGCAGGGCCACTGACTACTAGACCAGGCTGCCTGGAGTCACATCCAGCCTGGCCTTGAATGTCTCCAGGGATGGGGCATCCAAAACCTCCTTGGGCAACCTGTTCCAGTGCGTCACCATCCTCTGCATGAAATACTTCCTCCTAGTATCTAACCTAAATCTCCCCCGTCTTAGTTTAAAATCATTGTCTGTTGTCCTAGTGTTATTGCTATATATATATGTATACATAGCTGTAGGAGGATACATATATGACTTCAGGACTTAAAACCACAGACTGCGATGAACATCAGTACAGATCAGCTTGCGTTTCCTTCTTTCTTTAGGAGACAGTTGAACAATTGAACAATCTTGACTTATCAGGACAGTTTCCCTCTGGGAAAAATGCCTGGCAGAAGTTTGAATCTGTCCATCTCTCAAATACTTTGAGTACCTTTTCTCAATGATTATTACCTTTTTTTGAGGCTTGACTGGCTGGGTTACACCTCCTTGGGAAAACAATGCTTGCAGGTATCCCTTACTCACACTGGACATTTTCCATGTGGGCTCCAGTGAGGGAACTTTCCACGTATGATATTTGAGTGCACAGAGAAAGAGTAAGGCACCAGAGGGAGCAGCAAATGACAGGAGGAGGAGGACAGGGAACTTTGCAACATGTGATGTCAGACGATCCACTGTTTTTGCACCTAATATCTTGCAGCACTCTCTTCAGTACAGCATAATCTCCTTTTTCTCAAAGGATACTCCAGACATGACCGGAGCTGCCACTGGGCCTGACAAGTATTTTGCTTCCCAATTTTCAGCACAGGTTGGAAGACCCCTCCTTATTTTTCCATACTGTGCTTTCTCAGGATGCTGAGGAAATTAATTCAGCATAATAGAATCACAGAATGATTTGGGTTGGAAGGCACCTTAAAAATCATGTAGTTCCAACCTCTCTGCCGTGTTCAGGGACACCTACCGTCAGGCTGCTCAAAGTCCTGCTCAGCTTTCCTTGAACACTTTCAGCAATGGGCCATCCACAGCTTCTCTGGGCAACTGTTCTAGTTTCTCACTACCCTTACAGCAAAGAATTTTTTCCTAACATCTAATCTAATGCCTAATTATTGATGTACAGCATCATCATTCCTCACTGCTACTCAATCATTGCCATACAAACTTTCCGAATTCTGAACTATGCAATAAACTTTGAAGAATCTGCATATAGGGATCTTTATTAAATTACTCTTTTTTTTTTTTTTTTTAAATATGAGTTAGCATCTTGCATGTAAGTTTAATGGAAACCTGCTAAGATTTATAGAACTCTTTCAAACTGCAGTTGAATTTTAACAGTTTCTCTGTGATGCATATTCTGTAGTAAGTAAAAATTAATCTTCCTTTGCACTTGGCTCTTGAAAGGTGATCTAAAACAATATCAGGAGTTTAATTATAAATTAGAATGTAAGGTGCTGGTGGAAAACTACATGTGTAAAGAGACATTCACCTCTGCTGTTGCCTTTAGAGGTTACCTCCATGAAAATCCCCATGATTTGGCCTGTGCAAATGTTCCTGATAGAAATATTTTCCTGAAGGTGCAAATAATCATTTTCAGTTTCTGTTAAATATATGGAATGCTTTCTGCATTGCAGGACCCGCTGCTGTGGTAAGTCCTAAGTACTCAAGCTAACTTTGGCAAATTACACTGATTTTCACAACAGATCCATGCTGAGATTTACAGGATGAAGATGCTTCCACCCAACTGATTCATGTTTTTAGAGAGAGGAAATAACAGGAATTCACTCAGATACATGCTGCCAAGTAGTTACAAGCAGTTCTGAGGACTGGGGATAAACATGGGAGAGTTCAAGTGTTTTGGACGTGAGACTGAGCAAGGAGAGAAAGAGTGTGGATATTGGAGTCTTGGAGAAGCAGCATCAAGAGCTGGAAGTCAAACATAGAAGTAGTTTTTAGCAGCTGGTTCAGAACATGATAGACTTAGCTATGAGGTTACCAGGGCCTTTGATGCACCCCTTAATACCAGCATGGAACTAATCTGTCACAAAATGCATTGAAAGCTGTCTGTACACAGCACTCCTTTCTGCCAGTTGTCCACAGACACTCCACAGTAAAATCAGGAAACCAAATGGTGTAACTGAACTGTTTCATGGCTGACTGCTATTTTCCCCTGTAAGTCTCAGCATCAGCATAGTCTGCACTTACCTACTGCAATCATGATAAGCTGTATCTCAGCCATGGGATTGCTCGCAGGATCTCTAGGGAAATCTGCACTTTCTATCCCCAGGCTCCTCACAGCTCAGTGGACAGTGAAGGTTTGTAGGAGCCAAGGTTGTGTAGTTTGACTGGAGATCAGTTCATCCTCATGCACATTCATCTGCTAAAGAGGATCATCTAGACTGTTTTAAAGAAAATCAAGTTTTTTCATGTAGCAGACCTATTCTGCCAGGATTGTTTGATGGGAAGAGTTTTTCCCATGCATTGAGTTTACTTTTTTTTCCCTTATTTTAATTAAAACAAAAATTTCAAAATGCTTCTCTGTTTTTAAAACTTTTTTTTCTCTAGAGCAGAATGATTTTTCCATTACTTACCCAAGTTATGATCTCTGCTGGAGCATTTCAGGTGCAAAAGTTCTCAGAACACAGCTGATAAAACATAGAAAGTTGTTCATGTCCACCACGGCTAATGCAAAATGAAATGCTTTTTCCCACTAATAGTAGTACTCAGAGAGCCTCCCTCACAAATTTTAGGGCTGTCATTTTTTATGATACTGGTAGAGTTCTCCTGTGGAAAGAGAATGAAGAATTCAAAGATGCAGCCAGCTTTCTGATATTTATATGCAGTCTGCTGCTCTGTCTCCCACATATATGTTCTTAGCACTGACACAAATCTGTACTCTGGCAGTTCTAATGCTTGTGAAGAGGTGGAGATATCTCCTCACAGAGATTAATTTTTGTTCTAAACATCTGTCATTTGGTGCAATCTGCTGCAGCCTACAGACAAATAATAATATGGGGAATATATTCTCTCATAAAATGCCTTTACTGGCCTTGAGCATCTGCTGGTTTTGTCCCTTTTTCAACTACAGCATGTGCAGAACATGCTTGTATTTGCTTTCTTGTTAGAAGCATTTAATCATCAATTGATAACTTAGTCAAAAGATCTTTTTATTTGCTACCATTATTTTTACATGTAACTAGTAAAGAAGTTTTTTTTATGTGCGTTGTTTTTAATTGCTGAATGTTTTCCTGCCTTCCTTACAGTACTTTACAGGGCTACAGCTCTGAAGAAACCACCCAGTTGATTACAAGTTATAGTAGAATACTTTGTGCCTCTTTTATTACCTTTGTAATAAAACTTGATCCAAGATATTCTGGAAAAAACAGTTGATGAATTCTATTAGCCACTAGCTTCTTACAGCACAAAAATCTAGTGCAGAACACGTTAACTAAGCTTGCTTTTTCTCTTCCATTGTGAACTCTGTGTTATAGATTGAAAGAGCCATTGGAAATAGAGGAATTAATCCGACGTTTCCGTGCCAACATTGTCATCAGTGCACCAGAATCCTTTGAAGAAGAAGAGTGGGCTGAGATCTCAATAGGTTCTCTGGGATTCCAGGTGCAAACTTATCTCCATTGTCTAAATTCCTATTCTGTCACAAAGCATTTTGCCCACTGGAGATTGGGCAATTCTTGCGAAGCTTTGGCTTGAACATGGGCAACTTGATTTGTGTACAGGTGAAATTTATGAAGGTGCCAAAAAACCATGCTGTGACCCCTGGCAAACATGCTGCAAAGTGACTGAGTGGTTTTGATGTATTTCTCTACTTTTTTTTTTTTTTTTTTTTTTTACAAATTTCATAATTCATAATATTTCTCATCTCCATCCAGCTGAGGAAAAAAGTAATCACTTTTTTAAGGTAGGGTTTGCAGCAAATATTGAGCAAGCATGTAACAAGAGAATACTAGTTGCTCTCAAGTATGATCATCTAAATGCAGTCTCAGATCGCTGCACATCAGTCGTTGTAGTGATTGCCAGAAGCCTGGACGTGAATTCCAGTGAGTGATCACTGTCCATTGCTCTCTGGTATATGCATTTAATCTCCATTCAAGACGTGTTTCTAAGTCTAGCCTTAGGTAAGGTTGTTTCTTATATTATGTTTCATATCATACCTCACAATGTGATGTGCTTTGTACTGTAAGGAAAATGCTAACAAGTTAGACTTTGTTGGCAAGGAAATACTTTTTAGAAAAAATGCAAGCAAAGGTCCATGAAGAAGCTGTACATGAAACCTAAGGAAAAAATGAATATATTTGTTACATGTTGTATTGAATTTACCTCATTCTTAGATATGAAATATATGTTTGTAAATGAATTGTCAAGGATGTGAAACAGCAATTCATTGTTTGCTAAGGAATGACAATGAAGGATGTGAATAAGAGAAGTGCTAAGGCCAGATCTAGAAACTGAGATAGGAATTATTCCTAATTGTTTCTGGTCAGCATACTTTAAGAAATAGAAAGGCTGTTTTTTCAGTAAAGGTAGAAAATGACTTATCTTCTCCTTTCTTTGTGTATACTTTGATCAGTAAGCTGCAATGTGAGTTGAAGAAAATTCAGGAAAATTTTCTTCAGGTGCTTGATGCCAGAAACACAGTAGAATACAGTATTGAACAGAGCAAAGTGGGGTAAAATATTTTCTTCTCTTGTGTTGTTTTTCTTTTAATAAAATATTAAAGTTGTTGCAAATCATGAAAAAGTAGAAACAAATGTATGATTTTAATGCCTACTCTGAAGAGTTGTACAAACAGTTCTAGGTGTACCTCAAAGAAATCAAATAGCTCTTCAGAGCAGCACATAAAAATATTTGCAGTGTAAGGTTAAATTATTTGCCCTATTCAAATGTTATGACAAATTTTACAAAATTGAAAAACTTATATTAAGATATTTTAAGGAACAGTTATTTTCTAACATGTAGAGCTTTGCTAAAGCTTGGGGTGCAGTAGTAAGCAAAACTGTTCTTCATTTTAATGTTTTAGAAGAAGTAACTCATGGCAGGCTTTTTGTCCACCCTAAAAATGCACCCTATTACAAACAGGAATTAACTTTAGGAACAGCACTCTGTATTATATATGATGTTAGATTTGCGGATCTCAGTACCCTTTCTGACGATAGACTTGTGAAAATTCACATTTTACATTCTGTTTGTCTACAAGTTCCATACATATAAGAAAGTGTATGGGATATTGTGCATTTCAACTGCACATAAACAGTGTAAAGCCTGTTAGTTTAGCTCCAAGAAAATCACAGAATGGCAGGCGTTGGGAGGGACCTCAAGAGATTGTGTCCAATCCCCTGCTAAAGCAGGTTCCCTACCACAGGTTGCACAGGCAAATGTCCGGGTGGATCTTGAATATCTCCACGGAAGGAGACTCCACAACCTCTCTGGGCAACCTGTTTGATTGCTGCATCACTCCTTTACCATAAAGAATTGTTCTGCTTGTTTGTATGGAGCTTCCTATGTTCAAAAGAATAAAATAAAATGAAAAAAAAAAAAAATCCTCTTCTTGGTAAATCCTGAGGACTTGGCTTAATTTTAAACTCAGTTCTACTTTGGGCAAGTAGTCCTGTCAGCTCACAGATTAAGTCAAGCCATCAGGAAATACAGATATGTTTCTTTCTCTGGGAAAGTTTTCCCTAAAAAGAAAGGAAAAGGAAAGAAAAAAGGAACTAAAAATTCAGCGAGACCTTTGCAAGTGGACTCTTTGAAAATGTACCTACATGAGGTGAACAGGACTGACCCCTTACATAATTAAAGCCTAAAGAAACAAAGGAAAAGTATGTGGAAGACATGTTTTTGCAGTATTATACTAGTTGTAAGCTTGTACTGTTCCACAGTGTACTGTTTTGATATAGCAGTGACCCTTCTTTAACTGAAATTTCAGGTTGTGGGTCCATGTACCAGATGTCAAGTAATCTGCATTGATCAACAGTCTGGGGAACGAAACAAAGAATTTCTGCAGTCTCTGTCTGCTGCCAGGGGTAAAAAGGTCAGTACATTGCTCTAGAAGAGCTGCACAGAAAGATGAAGTGCATTGCATGCATAGTGGAATACCTGCTGAGAGAATACTCACTGTTAAGTTCTTCAGCTAATCATTATCATTTGTTTTTTCAGTCAAAAGAGGATAGACTTACAACCCAGATATGATATGGCTTATTCTCCCAAAATTCTCAACCTATCTTTTATTCAGGAACTGACTATAAATGTGCATTGTTTTTCACTGTGCTTGCTTTTATTCTGCATGTACTGCTTTACAACATGTTTGTTTTGGTCTTGGAAAATACAAGACAGTGTGCTGATGTCATTCCAGAAGAGAAATGTGAAGAAAAATCACCAAGTGTGAACTTGTGACAAAACAATTAGCTCTTGAGACTAAACATTATTCTTGCTGAGAAAAAAAGGCTTAGGTAACCCAGAGCAGACGCGAATATAATCCAAATGGAGAGTGACTGATCAGGAATGTGAGTGAGGAATAGGTCTGAAACACAGGCGCTGGTCTGGAGTTGTTGGGTTTCCTCAGGCTGCATTAATTCTTAGAAATGAGAGTGCTCAGACAATGGCTAGTTCAGCATCCCAAGAGCTTCATAAATCTCAGAAGCATTTTTTAGCTGAAAATTCTTACTACGAATTCACTGATTGCTGTTAAGCTTCTCTTGTAAAAGGGAAGGCAGTCAGTGCCAATAGCCTCGCCAATAACAGCCAGACACCAGAGACTGTGCACAGCACAGAGACATAACGAACAGGTTGCAAATTATTCACCCAAAGGGTGCACAACAAGTTACAAATAATGCATTTTTTGTTTAAAAACAAAACAAAATCTATTTGTCTCAATGGCTCACTATGCAAAGAAAGAGCTACATGTTCAATGAGTGTTATTGGGGAATAGCTCCGCCAGCTCCATCCTGGAGCCAACTGCCTGGTGCAAACTGAGGTGGGGAGGGGCGAGTGGTTCAAGCTGCCTGCTGGCACTGCTTCCTGCTGGCCTGAGACGGCTTGGGGCTGCACAGCAGGCTGGCATCCTGATTGCTGCAGCACATATCATAGAATCATAGAATGGCTTGGGCTGGGAGGGATCTTAAAGACCATCGAGTTCCAATCTCTGGCATGAGCAGGCATGCCCCCCACCAGATTAGACTGCCCAGAATCCCATCCAATCCGGCCTTGAATGCCTCCAGGGATGGGGCATCCACTGTTTTTCTGGGCAGTTGTGTCAGCACCTCACCACTCTCTGAGAGGGTATATGTTGCATGGGAGATGAGAACCTAATCGTAGTGGGTGGCCTGAGAGTGAGACCTCTCCAAGTCATGGTGAATCAAATCTGGAACATCTGGGATACTTTCTGGGTTGGGATGCTGCCCAGCTGCCACATGGGGCAGGGAGGGCTTTCTCTCCCGCGTAGGTTTTGCTAGATTATAACTGAAAGCCTCTGTAGAAGGACAGTAATCTGTGTTTGGTGTCCTCCTCAAGTGGCAGCGACACTTCAAAGACAGATTCTCAGGAGAGGCACAGCATCTTCTGCATGTTTCCCACAGCAGAGATGAACTTCTCTTTTGTTCAGGTTAACTCTGGGAATGCAAAGATTTTCTTGTCCTAGAACCACAGGACTCATTCATATGGAATTAAGGCAATGAAAGCAGCCCAGCCTCTTGAGAACCTGGTGTCAAATAAAAGGAGCAGGGCATGGCAAGGCACTGCAGAGAACCATGCTGCTATTCACAGCAGAGCAGTGCTTCCCTTCTCACAGCTGTGCAAAGATATCCACACTGCAAAGAACAAGGCCATCAGCTTTTTATTTTTCCCAGCTTTCAGCCAAAGATTACTCTCAGCACTGCTGGCAGAAGGACTCTTGTGAACATGCCCTGCTCTGTACAGGGCCAAGTCTTCTGGGTATGCTTGACAGCCAAGTGAGGTAATCTGAGCTGAATGTGTCTGTGAAGACATCATAGCCCATTGCTCCTCCAAGTCATCTGTGGAGTGATGGTCACCAGCTGCTTATCAGTCAGCAGTACCTGAGGACTGTGGCATCTGCAGTGTGCTATGCAGAACTGGCAGAGGACATTCATCTAAACCTTGCACAGTAAATACTGGGGAGGGAGAAACATTGAGTTCCTGTGGCTTTGCTAAATTGCAGAGCTAATCCTTTGGTGACTTATGTCTGAAGCAAATGCTTTTCTGTTGAGGATTCATGTACCTGACGTCACTTTAGACTTTTTTTTAATTAAACGCAGATTCAGTGAAGGAATTTAGCAGTGTTTGTTCTCAGCTGTCAGTAACACAAATCCAACTGCAACAAACAAACGCAGCGAGTACAATTTAGGCTAATTTCCTAGTACTGGTGTAACTGATATTTTTGAAAGGCCATTATAGTTACTTAGTTTCCAGGATGTTAAGGACTCTGCCAATGTACTTCAAGAATGACATAAATAAAGTAAGGCTTGTCAGAGCTGGGTTAATATTTTTTTCTGAAATGATATTTTTCATCACTCTTCTGAGACTCTGAGCACTTGCTGCTCCAAGCTGAAATATTCAGGCTTTGCATGGATGGATTATTGCTGAAAGTCAGAACCAGCTACTCTAATTAGCCACACAAGCAGTTTGCATGTTTCCTAATAAGCATACAGCAGAGCAATGAAGGCTAGCCAACTACTTTATGTAAAACCTTTTTTTGCATTGTTTGAAATAAAATGTAATCACCTCTGCAAAGCAAACTCAAATTCTTCTGCCATCCGTTCTGAAGAAGCGTTCATTAAGAATTCCTTCTGTAATTTTGGACTGAGAAGGGAAAAAACGAGCTTTCCTTCTGTGGCAGAGCTCTCTGTTACAGCAGGAAGCTCCAAAAGGCTAGATAACTGCATTAAGCAAATATTGTAAAAATAGCCACATGCTGTTTCACATGCATCACCACCTGATGCAAAAGGAACACAGGCAGAAAGGAGAGAACACTGAATTCTTGCCCATCCTCTGTGTTTTCCTGATGCACTTTAATGCTAACAATAGTGAAAGCCTTGTGGGTAGATTTGCAGCTGTGCTGTGAACTGGGACTTGCTATCAAGGTAGCAAAGGGAATAGCGTTAGCAGTGTGCCTCAACATAAGTGTATGGATAGCTGTACATCAGGAGAAATCCATTATGGTTGCATATGCCTTTCTACACTAAAAGGTTTGTGTTTTTTCCCTCTGGGCTGTTGATCCCCTTTTATGTATCTCATTGTGCCCAGGAGAGCTTTCATCCCTGCAGAATTAGATACAGCACCTTTGGACTGCTTGCTGAAACCTTAGCAAGGAGAGCAAGTGAATTCTTTTATCTGATGCATCGTTTTGCTTTACACTCTGCAGTGCTTTCTGTCCAAAGATCAGGAATGCTTGCAAACACTGACTGATGTACGTAATTAGCAGACTTCTGAAATAATATGCTACTCTTTTCTCAGGAGTGCCTAAACTGGGAAATTCATTTATTTAAGGCAGAGTGCAAAAGCAGATCAGTTCTTAGTAGAAACTTCTGCTGTCTAGATATTTTCAGTAAAAGAAGATATTTGGTCTTTTTTGGGCTACCAAGTTAAAACCTTCCTTTCATTCCAATATGAAAAATCAGCATGTCAAAAGTAAGTGCTTCCACTCCCCTGTTGTGTAAGACCTTGCTAACGAGCTTTGGTGAATCCAGAGCTAAAAGAATATCTTTACATTTAAAACAAAAAAAAAAAATTCAGGTTTAATCTTTGCATTTTCTACACCTTTGTGTGAGAGAGGTAGGTTGTGTTATGTGAGTGAAGTGAACAGAAGTGAACAGGTGAATTTATCTGCTGATAGAAAGCAGCTGAGAGCTACATCCAAGGGCAAAATCCAGAGCTCATCCATCCAAAGCTAAGTGTTTGCATGCAGTATCATTTATGTGCTCATTACACCTTCTAGCAGGGCACTTTCCCCAGCAGATGCTAGTCTGAACTAACCAATTGCTTAGGAGCTGTATCTTAAGGGCATCACATCGCAGCTTGTGTCAGGTGTAGCACCTCACATTTCATCATTTCATCCTACAAAAGGATACCATACCCAGGAAATTCCTCAGTCAGTAAATATCCTAGAAGTGCATATTTTTATTGTTGCTCCAGCAAATGTATTTGAAACAATATGCAAGAATGACAGCATTTCGTAACTCCTCCTTTCAGTGAGTGCGATGACTATCATGTGATTCACTGTTGGCAAGAATAAGTGTGTTTTATCTGTTTATTCCAGCAGTGAAGTGTTGCAGTTTTACTGATGGGGCAGCTTTACATGAAGTTTAAGAGCAGCAGGAAGAGCCCCTACTGCCACCTGTATGGACAGAGTGGCACAGCTCACAGTCTGACCATCTGCTCTGGGGAAGCTGTGAGCAGAATAGATGCCCTTGAAGTCAGGAGAGGGTAGCAACAACACAAAGGAATTATGCAGTTCGTTGTAATGACTCTGCAAGCTATAATCTCTGTGTCTGAAAGTTTCTCTTTTCAGCTCTGAAACTGGAGAATGAACAATTTTCTGCATTTTGTCTTTCTCTTGAAACGCAGCCCAAAAGGCAGGATGCACAATTTTTGTGGTTGTTTGTTTGTTTGGATGTTTGTTTGTTTGGGTTTGTTTGGTTTTTTGCTAAGTCAATGTTTGTAATTGGTAGAAGAGCAAGGAAATGTACTTGAAAGATACAAAATCAATTTCTGGTAATCACAGGCTAAATTCCGGTCATTCAGAAAATAAAGATATCAGCAATGCAAGTGATATTACAGGAAAACCCTCATCTAAGTAGGCATAATAATGAAATAAGTATACCACCAGTATCAGTGTCACCTTGAAAACTCCTCAGGCATCATCCAGCCTTAGAAGTCCTAAGACTTACATGCCTAATCAGAGTAGAAAAATACTGATGACCAGCATTAAAATAGTATTTAAGAACTGCTGTAGATAGAATTTATTGATCTGTCTTTTCTCAAATAATCACAGAGGGTTTAAATTGCTTTAAGAAAAAAAAATCTGATTAAATGATTCGAAGCAACAGAATTAAGGCAAACTAAATTACCCATATTGGACAATCTGCCAAGATGTATTTTAGTCAAAAAGATAAGTAAAAAAATCAGTGCCATAAATATATGTTGAAAATTCCCATGTGTGAAATCAATTGATTAACACCGATGTTAAAAAATCTTTCCTGTTTGAAATGTAGTGTAGAATAGACCAATACTCGTTTTACAGTATTTGTTTTATGATTACCTGATTTTTTACAGCAATTAAATTATGGCAATTGTCATCTTTACATTAGGAAATTAAATCCAGGATGTTAAACACAAGGATGAAAAAAACTACAGTTATGTCCACAGAGAAACCAAAGCTCGTTGACAAAGAAGAGAAAAACGAGAACAGGATAATACATGCTTCAAGCTTTTAGATGAAACTGTTACTGACTTGACATTTCACTGTTGTGGTTGTTCCAACCCAGTCACTGTGCTGTTAGGTTGGGACCTTGCTGTGCTGTGGTCATATCTCAGCATTGCATTCTGGAACACTGACCATAGGATCTACCCTACACCCACAGGTGTGAGCCTCATTGCAGACACCAGTATCCAGAAAACATCATTAGTAGCATGGGACTGATCAGGCTCAACTCATGCCACATATATGTGGAGTACCCACGAGATGAAGGAATAGCAGAAATAGCCAAAAAATATCTATCTGGGAGCTATCTTAGTGTTCAGAATTACAAATGCAAATTGAGCCATGCTGCAGCAATGTTTGCATAGTTCTCTGCTTTATAGCATCGCTGTTACGTGAGAGAAGGCCTCAGCCTTAAATCTCAGTCATTCTTCAAAGACTAAAAGCTGTTTCATGTTACCTCATTTCTATATCTTTAATTAAATAGTGCAAAAAGTGGAGAAAACAGACTGCCTTCATTTTACGTCTGTCAAATACGCACCCTTAGATTCAGCTAATACATTTGGTTATCTTTAATTTGTTGCAATTCCTTTTACCTCAAATATTTTTCTAAACCTCCTGTAAATGTAATTCCCTCAGTTTCAGGATCATTGATTTAAACAATGGCAATAAATGTAATCAGATAATGGAGAAGGATGATAGAGTTTTGCTTTAAAAATGTGTTTGTTCAGACGTACCAAATGAATCACGTTTCCTTTTTTATTTAATTTACACTTGCGAGTGACTGATAATGGAACACTCAGCTGTAGCCTACCAAAGCCAATTACTTTTGTTCAAAAATTGACAAGAGGATTTATGTTGGCTTTCCAAGTTTTTCAGTTTGAAGAACAAAGACATTCTGAAGTCCACAAATCAGTTCTGAATGTAACATGATCCCCGGCATTCATTTACTTTTTACTTTATATATCATTTATTTTCTTATTGTTTCTGACTCTTCTAAAATGTTATCCTGAGGTTGAAAGACTATTTCTTGCTGCTATTTTATATCTATATTCTTCGCATGTAGGGAACAAGACCACAGAAACACACCATGTGTCTTACTGTGACATTTCTATGTCAGAGCCAGCTGTTCACAGCTTTAACTGTAACATCTAATGTGCTTAAAATTAAAACCATACACAACAGTGCAGAAGCAAAAATCAGGTTTTCAGTGCCTGCAAAGGCTTATGGTCAGTAAGGGAAGTAGTTGTCCTGCTTTTTCTTCCTTAGTATTCAGCAATATGAGGACACTTGCCTAAGTTTTTCTAATGTTCATGTAAGATGGCATCACAGCTAATGACAGATAGCAAGTGGCAGTCCTGATAAAACAAACTTTTGGAATATTTTCTGTAAAATATACTAAAATATCGATGAAAACAAATGAAGGGAAATTCATCAAGGTTAGACAAAGTTCTGTTATAAAGTGAATAATTCACTGTAGGAAATGCAAGAGTTTTCCTCACTGCTTGAACATACGTATCTTCTGGGTGCTACCTAGCCATTATTTGTGAAAATGGATTAACTACATTTGTCAGGGAGCCAGAAGAGTCATTAATTGAGCATGAATTACGTACACAGTACTATGGAACCCATGATGAAATACTATGCTATTTATCCACTTACTGAAGATACTCTTCTTGAGTAGCATGGCATTAGCTCTTGTTTACCAGTCTATTGTAGTTAATTAATTAAAATAATCTTGTTAAGATCACACATACGTCCTTACTATTAAAGCAATATTATTTTTCTAAACATATCTGGTTTGTGAGATCCTCTATTGATCAGATTATTTTAGCATGAGTTGCATCTCAATTAATGTTTTGCTTTGTTTCAGACAAACTTTGGCATATACCTGATGAACCAGCCCTTGCGCTCATCCCTTCCAGGTATTTTATCAGTTGGATCTGAAGTACTTCCAATATTGAAGGAGAGTACAGAAATTCAACACCCGACATTCAGTGAAGAAAAATGTTCAGGATAGATTTCTTGGCGGAGAAGAGATGCAACTTAAAAAACAAGTCACTAGTCAGTAATTTGAAAAGAAAGAAAAATCACACATTTGCTTCTGTTTTCAGTCTTAATTTTCTGCTTGCAGCAAACATTATCAGATGGCGGTACTCTTGATAATTACACCTCACCTACATGTTTTCGCTTGCGATTAGGTTACAGCAGCCATAACTCTGTTTTGCTCAATTGCTTCAGGATACAACAGGCTTGATCAAGTCTTAATAGTGGATGACTCCCAAAACAAGTCCGACAGTGTTGTCAGAAACCCACATCTCAATGAAGGAAAGTAAACACAAAAATACCCTACTACTTCCTTATGCTGCTTTGTTAAAACCACATCTGGGAGAGAGGACACAGGCTGTGTTTTGTGAACGGTGTGGGTGGGGAGGGGATAGCAGAAGAGCAGTGAGACAGCAGCAGCCCTTTCAGCTTTTCACAGTGATGTATATATAGTCTGAGACCACCTGATAAAAGGTGTCTTGGAATGCCTTAATGAAGCAATTTCATCCATGTGATCTGAACATCTTTTTCTCATTCCCATTTGACACTTTTACACCTGATCCTTTTTAGATGATGACTTTCCACACACTTGCTTCCTTATGTATTTGTAGATGTTGGCACCTTTTTTTTTAATTACAAATTTCTCAACTCATGCGGGCATTTCTATACAAACTTTGTTTATGATCAGCAATCTCAAATAGCCAAAATGTTGGAATATCAACTTGAGGGAACTCATGGAAGTCAAAATGCCTTTCCATCCTGAATAGATCTGCCCCTTTTGCCCTGCCCCTAGAGGTGTCAAGGTGCCCCTTGACATAGAGATTTTGGAAAGGGTCCAGAGGAGGGCGACTAAGATGATCAGGGGGCTGGAGCACCCCCCCTATGAGGACAGGCTGAGGGAGTTGGGCTTGTTCAGCCTGGAGAAGAGAAGGCTGCGGGGTGACCTCATTGCAGCCTATCAATACCTGAAGTGAACCTGCACCCAGGAGGGGAGTAAACTCTTCAAAAGGGCTGACAATAGCAGGACTAGGGGAAATAGATCCAAGTTGAAGGAGGGAAGATTTAGGTTGGATGTTAGGGGGAAGTTCTTTACAAGGAGAGTGGTTAGGCCCTGGAACGGGCTGCCCAGGGAGGTTGTGGATGCCCCGTCCTTGGACGTGTTTAAGGCCAGGTTGGACAGGGTCCTGGGCAACCTGATCTGAATGTGTATGTTTGGTGGCCCTGCTAGGCAGGTGGGTTGGAACTACATGATCCTTGGGGTCCCTTCCAACCCGGGTGATTCTGTGATTCTGTGATTCTGTGTTCAAGGCCAGATTTGACGGGGCCTTGCGCAACCTGATCTAGTATTAAATGGGGAGGTTGTTGGCCCTGCACGTGGCAGGGGGGTTGGAGATTCATGATCCTACGTTGGCCATTCTGTGATTCAGTGGTTCAGTCAAAGTATTCTTTATTCTTACTCCTGGTGCTAGTTCCTTAGAATTTGATAATAGCCTTCTTAGACATTTTCTGAGTTCTTTACTGGGACTTCATCTGATACATCAGTTGTGGAGAAAATCAGTAAAAAAATAAAGCCACACAATAAATAAATAAATAAATAAATAAATAAATAAATAAATAATGAAAGAAAAAGAAAACATAGGAAGTCAGTGTAATGCAAGATTAAACATACTGAGGCCGGGTGTTTTATGACCCCCAGCATGTGTCCAACCAGACACATGGCAGTGTCATGCTTTCAGGAAGTCCTCCTGGAAAAGGAAATTCTCCCAGATTGGCCACTTTATTGCCAATTGGGAAGGGAAATTTGGGCTCCATTAAAAGCACTGTCAGGACTTTCATCCAGAATGATTTAGGTGTTCCTTGAGGTGGTTTTGGCTCCAACTGTGTGAAAGTGCTTCTGGCTGAGGCAATCCTTGAGTTGTACGGGTGCAGCCCTAGAGGGGAGAAGGCAGCTTTGTGATGGATTTGGTCAAACAATCGTTCTGAAAAGGGAGCGATCATCTCAGAGCACCATACAGTGAGAAAAGGGAAGTGCATTGCTCAGTGCGTGAATCAGAATTCTGAAAGTAGACAGTCTTTTTTCTTTTATTTCTCACTTTTTTTTCAGTTCTTTTGAAGAACAGGTTTTACTCACTTCAGCTGGAACAGACTGTTATTAGTTTCCCGGCAGAGCTTTGTAATGGAAATGAGACGCTATCTGTTTCTTACAACCCGCCATAAAATACATGGAAAAGAGAAGTGTTTTATATGTATGTAAACTGAGGATCAGTTTTGAGAGTTGTGCCTTTTGCTTCAGAGCCCAAGCCATGCTCCTTGATGTCTGCTTTGAAAACCAGGGGTTTTATCTGTCTAATAGTCAATTATCTGATGTTGTAACGAGTTGGCTTTTTGGAACCTTGAAAAGCAGTTTCCTGGTATCTCAATCTCTTAACTGTTTCACACTTTGCCCTTCTGTAATGCAGAACTTTGTTTTGTTGGATAGAAATCCAGTATGACTCTGGCAAATTTAATACGAGGAGACCTGCTGTATATTGACCTTCAGGTGATCCCTGGTGATTTTCTCTGTCCTCTTCACCTCACCACCACCTCATTTGTTTAGAATGGCACAGAAGTTAGAAGAGGAAATGGAAAGCAAACCTCAGTGAGCTCTGTTTTACTTGTCATTGCATTTACTACAAAATAAGCCAGCTTGGTACACTGTGATATGACAAATACTGTCTGTAAATAGCCTTAATGCAAAGTATGATAGCTGAGGATGAAAAGATTTGAACTTTTAAAATGTCACGCTTGGTCCTTCTGACTTATTATTTACAAGCAATTACACTTTTTCCTCTTTATGGCCCAGATTAGGTCAAGAATAACTCTGACATTTTACAGAGAAAAAAAATATTTCCTGTGATGTCTGAACATTCTCATTAGTATATGTTGTGCATTTCCCAGAATGAACATCTTTGTGCTGTGGTGATGGGAAATGTCAAAATGCTTCTGATTGATGGAAGAGGCATAAGGAATCTTTCATCTCAGCGAATAATAATATAATATTTCCCTTCTGTTAAGTGGAGTGTCACCACCAGTCTTTCCATCAATGAAGACAAATTCTTCTCAATGTGAATACTTCGTGGAAAATCTTAAAGCAGGAGGAGTCATATTTAAATGGCATGCACTGGAGGTTTTGCAGAAAAAACATCCCTCCCCTAATGTGAAAAAAAATTCAAAGAAAGGAAAATTGTAGCGTCATACTAACCAAAGTACTGCACAAGTGAGAAGAGCATACACACTTGAAAACATTGTGCATATTATACAGGAATCTTATATGTTCTGTAAAGGAGTCACTGCTCAATGTTCAGACTATATGGAAAAAAATACAGTTTCGTATGAATGCAGACTCTAAAACTCGTTGCTGCAAAATTAAATCTTCAGACTAATTGCAGATACATATTTACTTTCTGTGGATGAGAAATGCACTGAATACAGTATTTCTAGAGTGCTATATGTAGAAAGTCCTCTACATATTTGAAGCTTGTATTTCCTTGCAATAAATTATTCAGACACATTCCATGTTCTGTGGGACTTAACTCCTCCGATCTCAAGGCAAGAATGATGATTATTACAAGTTCTAATAATAGCCAGGAAGCTGGAATCATAGGATAGAAATCAGCATTCTTAGGAGAATCTTCTGAATTGTGTTCAGTGATATGAATGTGATAATTCAGGCGTATTATGATTTATACATTTTCAATAGCATCCTTCAAAATACGGCCAAAAATTTTGGTCAGCCTTCTGTCAAAATTGTGTACAAATCAAAAATGAAGATTATTGATTATCATTCATAAATTATGGAGATTATGCTCTGCATTTCTTCTTCGGACTGTCTCCCAACTTTCGTGGAAATTAGACCAATAAAATACTGCTAGTGCTTGGCATGTGACTGTTGGTGCTTGCATTCTTTCCCTTTGAGCTCATGAGATGCTCAGCTCTGTGTGGAGGCATTGCTGGGCTCACTGGGTGAATGTGACTGTAGCCCAGTATGTGGGTGGCTCTCATGGAGCTGAAAGATGTGTATCCCTGTCTCTGTGATTATACAGCCAATGAGGCAGCCACCTCAACAAACATGGACTCAGGAGAAGGGAGAAGAAAGCCAGGCATTCCTCCTGGGCATGTGAGCTAGTGGGCTCCACAGGCAGATGTCCTTCCTCATGCCAACACCCCAGTATGCAACATGGGACTTCCTAAGAAGAGATGGGAACACCCCAGAGCAAGTTGTCGAAAGAGAAGTGCCTCTTAAGCAAGGTGGCACTTAAGATTCCTCTGTTCCTTTCACATCATCTCAGTGTGATGGGAGCTGTGGGTCACTCTCATTGCAGAAGGGCAGGTGTCCTGCGATGGGAGTGACTCACTCAAAGCAAACACAGACACTTGCCACCAAGAATTGCTCAGGAGTTTCTCTGATGACCAGAAATTATGACACAACATGAGAACTTGGGGGATTTTGTTTAGAAAACACATAAGAAGTAGCTGGTATGCTGCTGTGATTTTGTCACTGGTGTGTCTTTTCTGAGTTACTGTTTGCTAGCTAATTAATAGACAGATACATAAATTGGTGAAGGTTGATAGTATAATCTTAATAGAGCTGCTTCATGGCAAATCTGAAATGACACTGATCTCAAAAGTAGAGCCATTTACTTTGCTTGGCACACACACAGCCTACAATTAGGTGTATGTTAATCCCAGTTTCTGCTGTGAGCCTATCTATTCCAGGCATGCAACCAAAACTATTCAGCATGGACCTGGACATCAACATCAACTCATACTAGATAACCTATATATTCCATATTTGAGCTGCCTCATGCTATCTGCTGCTTTTCAGAGGTAAGTGCCCCATCTAGATTAAAGTACTCTGGCTGGGATTTGCAATGCAGGGGTGGCTCTTTAGTCCAGAAGTGAAATCAGCCTTCAGTTTCTGAAAGGGCTGTGTTTCTCATAAGACTGTGTTTGAAAAGCCAGCCATGACCTAATGTTGTTTTCTGCTACTTATTAGGGAGAGCTTAAATAGAGCTGCTGAAAATGCACAAGTTACTATTTCCCAAACCAAACGTAGAAGACTGAAGATGCTGCACTGCTGGACTCCACTCACTTCCATAAATGAAGAAATCTCTGAGGTATCCATCATTAACTGCCTGTGGGCTGTATATCAGATGTAATTTCACTGGTTTATCCAAATGCTGTGGACTAATCCTCAGATCCTTTGTATTTGGTGCCACATTCATAACATTTATTTTAGCAAATCCTTTGATACTGAAATGGAATTGAATTTGCCTGGCACCACATGTTTGTCTTTATTCTGTTTGCAGGAACAAGAACACACAATTTGTGTGTTCGACTTGATAAAGCTCAGTGTAATGATTTAAAACAGTTGAAAAGAAAAAGCTCTCGTCGGAGTTGGTTTATCTATCAGTCAGTACCTGTAAAAACCTGTAGTGTTCCTCAGTAATTACTATGCCTAGCAAATCAGAAAAAAAGAACTAAGCTACAAGAATGAGGCGTGGCTTGGTAACACTCATGTACATCACTCATGTACATATTTTCAAGCAGAAGAAACTGAACTTTCTAAAATACTTTAATTTTAGTCCTGGAAAGTCACCTCTGAAAAGAGCAGACACTTTTTCTGAGGGATCACGGGATCACCCCACCTTTTGCATCAGACCCACAGTAGGGCAACAAAATGGCCGCTTTCTGTGCAGGCAGAAGCAGACCTCAAACATGCAAAAATGCAGAATTAGAGGGGCTGTGTACAGTCAGTCATTATGTTGTCTGTGGAGAGGAATGTTACTGGAAAGCAATTCCCTTAGCACACGCATCTCTCATAAAATGTCCATATTAGGAAATTTTACTTTGTGCGTGTAGTTACCTTCCAAGGTCTCTGACAAGGAGCTTTATGCCACGAGAAACAGGTAGAGATAAAACAAGAAAGTGATATCAGACAGCAGGTGTTGGAAGACAGTGAAATAACAGAATGCTTTTTTGCTGTCTACAGCATTCTCTACAGGCAAGAAGATCAAAACTGAGTCTAGAAAGAATATGAAGTTTTGTTTGAGGGATACTCTAGCTTCAGGGCTCGATCAGTGTGCTCAGGGCTGGCTTTCCAACAGCTTCTCTGGGCAACCTCTTCCTTTACTTTTCCTCCCTCCTGGTAAAGATATTTTTTCTAGATTTTTTCAGAAATTTGATTTCTGACCATTATCTCTTACCCTTTTGCTGTATTCCTTTCAGGAGACTCTAGTTCAGTCTTCTTTCTATCCCACACCTTGAGGCAATTGTGTCCTCAAACCACCCAGTCAAAAGAATGATCAGTGATTTCAAATACCTTTTGCTGAATGCAGGAATGTTGACACCAGACAACCCAACAAATTACCTCCCGAGTAATAGCACTGACTGTTTTCCCCTTGTTCTAGTGCTGAATGAGTGAGAAGGGCTGAACAGCTCATGCAGGTGCTATTTCCCAGCAAGTGGCATCAAAATGTTATAGTGTTACATGAATGGATGTAGAGACCTGGCTGTAACACATCCACTTCTGCTCCTCAAACACTGGCTCTGAAGTTAATTTTAAATGAAATGTCATATTGACACTGAGTTCAGAGTATGAACCTATTACCACTGACTTGCTGGTTGATTCCATTTTTGACTCAAACAAGGCAAAGGGTTTTTGCTCTTGTTGTTTTGTTTGATTGTTTTGTAATGCATTCTTCACAAAACTAGAATCTGGTTGAAGTCTTGGGCCTAATGAAGTCAGGAGAAGAATTAAACTCCAGTTTCCTCTAGAAGTCTGGAAGTAATCATGTTTGTTTCCCTTAGTATAGTCTAAATGGATCTTCTCAATATTCAGAAAGCTGAATGTGACTGAAGCATCTCCATTTCAGTATGCCCAGTTTTGGTTATGTAACAAATGTGATTTTCCAGAAGTATGAGCTGAGCACTTAATAAAATCTGAGTTGATTAAACAGTACGACAACCAAATCCCCATGCAACCCAAGTACTTCTGAGAGTTTAGGCAAATTAGGTACCAATTCCTAGTTTACTAAATTAACTGCATCCAAAAGGAGTTCATCAGCTTTTTCACTGCCATTCAAGGAAATTGACAGCTACTGACAACTGTATTCTTCTATTTCTCTCTTCAGCACATACAGTGAAAAAGGTGTGAATCAGGAAGAACAGGTCAATGAGATTGTCAGGCAATTATGAGAATGAATTAACATCTGAACAGTTGAGCAATCTCATTTTATTCTTCTCTGCACAGTGCATATTTGCTTGTCATAGTGCAACCCATGTATGAAAACCATAATCTCATGGGAGCAGAGAATCCTCCCTCAGTAGCCTTCTGAAATCCCCGTGCTCGTGTAATGAATAACCTACATGGATTTCAAGGTGATGAAGAATTAGAATCAGTAGGATGGGGTTTTTTTTGAGAAGAGGTTGTAAAGCCAAAAACCTTTGTCTGCTGAGGCTGCAAAGCCAAAAAATAATTTCCACAGGTTTTTATTTTTGTTTTTTGTTTAAGTCGAGTGTTTTGCAACTTTTAAGGGATGTAAATAAGCCATTTAGCATTTCTAGCTTTTACAGGCTCTTCTTCCTCATATGCATATTCCTAGCTGAACTTGTGAGGACCTTCACAAGCTAGGTCTTCTGGCAGATAACTTGGAAGATTCCCAATAATTCAATATTTATGGTGAAACAGAATTGATCTCCAGAATGAATGTGAGCTGAATGCATTAGAAGAAAAATAACAAAATGGAGAGAGGGGAGTCCTTGAGAAGTTATCGAGTCAGCCCTGAGCCCTAGATCAACAATTGTGTTCACATAACTCCTGACAGGTACTCATCCAACCAGATGATGGGACCAAAAAGTATTATTCTGGCTTTTAAGCTGTAGATGCATCTGGCTTATTATTCAGCTCTTATGTCAGGATGTATCATGAGGGGAGCCAAGCCAGAAGCTGTGGTGACCATATCACAGGCCATGTTCTTGCTGATAGGCCATAGCCCCAATGGTCTGAGCCAACTGAGCAGAGCTGGGGGCAGGTCATAGATGCCAGTGTGACAAGATGGGAGATGAGCTAGATCCATGGTCCAGAGCTCTAATCCAGCAGATCAGGTGATGGGACAAGAGGTGCCTGAGCCAGCTCTACACACTCAAGGTAGAATGGTGGCAGTGGCCTCTTAATGTGTCTGAACCTAGGGAGAGTTGTTCTTCAAGACATACACCCCTGTGTGTGATAGCCACCATCATTTTACACCTGGGGTAGAGAGCAGCAGAACTTCGATTTAAGGGCCAAAATGGTCACTCTGCTTCTGTACAAGAATGGTCACTGAGGCCACACTTAGTCTAACTTCAGAGCTATTCTCTGTTTTTGTATCCACCAAGTAGCTGATGCAAGCCAAGGACTCATGATTGCTTTTTTTTTTTTTTTTTCTCTTTTCTTAAATAGCTGAAAATGGGAACTTCTGTCTTCTACGTGTCGACATGGTCATGCTCACAGGCTGCTGAAGACTGCCTGAACAACATGGTGCCCAGAGGCTTACACACGTGTAAGCTAGCATGCAAAGGGCAGCTCTCAATGAAGAGGTTTTGCCAGTCTGATCAACTGGATCTTATAATCACCACCACGTCGTCAGAGATCTGAGAGATTTCCATTGCCATCCTCCCTGTACTTGTTACTTCTCATTCTTGTATTGCTCATCGTTTAACAGCAGAGCTTCAGCTGTTCTTAAAATTTCCGAGGTGGCATATAAAAAGGAAAACTCTTGTCAAACATATGTTTACAACCACTGATTGATGCTCTTGCAGAAGATAATGTCACCTGAAGAGGATCAATTAGAAGCATTACTCTTTCTTTCATCATAAATCTCAGTGAAGCAGGAAATAGTATGAAACTTGAAGGAAAGATAAACAAGTCTCACAGGAGGAGTGCAGTATGATGAAACAATAGGGTACAGAAGGGTAGGTGACATTTCAGGCCAGCACTGAGCTGGAGACGACTCATCTAATTGTCGCCAACTTCCCAGCCCAAAGGAGGGGTAATTGAGAAGCTAAACATAGGTCCTGAGGAACACCATCACAATGTTAAAAATTGGCTTTAGAGCATTAATGACACTGATCCCTAAAAATGAACTCAGAAGAATCCCTGAACTGATGATCTCACAGATAGCAGCTCATACTGTGGTCACGTTCACCTCTCATTGACTGCATCTTTTTGTCCTCCTTAGAAAAGTGACCCCTCGGAAATCAGTGTGCCCATCAAAAAGCAAAAGCGTAATGAACAGTTTTTGATTCCTATAAATGGCAAAACTGTTTTTGATTTCAAAAGAAGTAGGACAGTGCTATTTACTTAATTGGACTAAGTCCTACCCGCTGAAATTCATGTGAAATTCTGTTTAGTGGTTTAGCCTGCTGGGTCTGAAGCTGGAAAGAGAGATTACTTTCAATCTAGCGAAACAAGAGCCCTACTCATTCTTCTCATAATCTCTTTGAAGCATTTGTGCTTGAGGCAGAGGCTAAGGTCTCAAACTGAGGCATTTTAACACACAGTGTCAATGATGTTGTGCCTAGCACTGTGTTGAGCCAAATAATTGCATCACTGTGCCATGTTTCTGCTTACCTAATCCTTTCTGATGCAAGAGAAAGTACCTGGGAATTGCTTGGCATGTTTGATAAGGGTAAGTGGCACAACAGCCTTGACTGCATTGCACAGAGCAAGGGCAGCTTTCTTTTACCTGAAGGTCAGTAGCCCCAGCTTCCTGTGGCCTTGCTACCTGGGTGCATTCATGCCTGCTCACCATGATCACTTTTCTTCCACTCTGTCCTGTAGATACTGCTACTACAGCTGCTGTGTCACTTTCATCACAAATGAGAGCTTCCAATTCATAAAATCATAAAATCATAGAATCATTACAGTTGGAAGAGATCAAGTCCAACCATCAACCCATCACCACCACACCCACTAAACCATGCTCCTCAGTGCCACAACTCCACATTTCTTGAACACCTCCAGGAACTGCGACTCAACCGCTTCCCTGTTTCCAATGCTTGAACACTCTTTTGGAGAAGAATTTTTTCCTAATATCCAAATTGAACTTCTCCTGGTGCACCTTGAGACCAATACCTCTCATCTTATTACAAGTTACCAGAAGTGTATCATCTTACTCTTGCTTCATTAACTGCATTTTTCAGGCTGCTCCAGTACCCTGTAGCCTAGATCTCTTTCCTGCTCCTATGCTCCAGATTGAAGTAATTACCCCATAACCTGCTGTTTTATCTGTGGCTCTTCTTTGCTGGCCTCTGCCCTTCTCAATCTCATGCGGAGGTTTGTCAGTCTTCTTAGCTGACAGCTGCAGCTCAGCCTGCTTGCAGCCCTTCTGGGAAGTGAGAAGGATGCTAAGGCTGGTGAGAGAAAGTGGCAGCCCCACAGGGAGTGCGCCTGGCACCTCACAGCCCAGTTTTCCAAGCAACTTGCTTCAAAGGATAGGTTGCTCAGAGCTCATACCTTGGGATCTTGGCTAAGATGTATAAATTCCACTAGGCCTAGGATCTATCATGTTTCATACCTGGCTCTAAAAGCTGCCTATATGTTGTTTTCTTGTTATTTGTTTGGTTTTTAACTCTCCTGCTTGACATAAAAAGGTGTAAACAGGTGACAGGACTTAACAGTTAATTTATCCACAGGTGAATGAGGGAGGACTTTCCTGTTTTTTGGCATTCTGTAAAGGTTTTTCTTTCCACAGAGAAAGAATAGGGATTTTCCTCGAATCAGGAGAGATTTATATTTAAGCCCCCTGAAGCAATGGAATTGAGCCCCAAACTTTCATGGTTGGTATTTGGAATGGTAAGCTTACAGAAGAGATGCTGCTGGAATTTCTTCCCTGGGAAGCATCCCCAAAGTCTCCGTGGGACCACAGAACAACTCAGGATGAAGGAGATCTTTGGGCTTAGCACCTTGTCCATCCTCTGGATAACCCTTCACCAGAATGCCAGGTAGGAGTCCCACCACTGCTGTCTGTTCTTTTCACTGTACAGAGAGTGATGGGAACAGGACATTGCAGTAGAATGTTTATAGGGGCAAGATGGAGCAGGGGTCCTTTTGCAGGGTGGGGAAAAAAGGTGGAAGCTGAACAGCACAAAGAGCAAACTGAAGCTGGATCTCGTAGTCAGCTTCTTGAAATCTCTTCAATTGGTTGACTAATTACAGTCAATACCAAAATACATTAAACAGAATAAGTAGATACAAAAAAAAGTGGATTTCTGCATAGTTCCTCTAGATGGCAAGCTTTATCTATTCTATTTATCTTATCTTTTCCAAAGCAAATATATTCAAGTCCTATAAGGATCCTTATGTAGTGTTGGACCATTTGGTCAATTCTGGAATATCAGTTCCTGGAATCCTGAGCAAATTGCTGTAGAGAAAAGAAAATGTGGCTTATATATCAAGTCCATGAGAAATGTATTTATTGGCAGATTATGCTGGAAGGTACAATAATGAAAGTTTGTTGATAGACGGTATATTTTGGAAACTTCCTTACTGCAATTCACTTTAACGCCAGTGGGATTTTACTGTGCTAGGTGTGAGGAAAGTCCCTTTTTCTGCCCCAGCTTTTCTGTGTATTAATGCTGATCATGACTGTCACTGTAGCCAGTGAGGAATAAAAGTGTGGTATCTAAAATACAATGAGGAAATCAATAACTTTGCCCAGAGAACTGATCTTGATCTAACTCTTGTATAATTAGTGATGACTCCAGTGGACTTCCTGGTTTAAAATCACTGAGATGTCTGATATTTAGTTTGCTTCGATATTTTCATCTTGGATAAGAATGTAATAGATATCAGCTACTTTGAGTTCTGCATTGTCTTTTGAATTGCTATAAAACAAGCACGATGGTAGTGCTGAGACATAGAGTTGCATTACAGACTTAATGGTATCAAATGATTTACTAGGAAGCAAGACAGCAAAGCATCAACCCCGTATCTCTATCTAGAAATTAGAGTACATTCCCAGGCCTATGCTTCATACAATAGAAATTGAACTTTAAAAAGGCTCTTGGTAATTATGAAAACTCCTGTCTAGCAATGTATCACCACTCTAATGAGGTTTTTATATGACGGCAGTTGTCATTCTGCTTTTTCTGTGAACACATTAAATGATGTCTGCACAGACTTACACTTGTGACCACCGCTCAGACATTTGCATCTGTTCTGCATGGCCCTTGCTGAGACTCAGGCTGTGTTTCTTCATCTACATGAAACAGTTCATGAACTCCTCTAGGGAGACACCCCCTCATTCATCTCCCAGCTGTACATAGTGTTCTGTTCAGGTGTTCAGAAGTGGAAATTTTTTGTCCGTTCTCTTGGGAGATTCTTCCGTAACCTTGTTTTGGTTTAACTCAGCAGGCAGAGCAGCTGTTTGGTCACTCCCTCCAGTGCAATGGGGGAGAGAGTCATGGGCTGAAATAAAGACAGTTTATTAGGACAGAAAGGGAAGGAAAATAACATACAAAATGTGTGATTGCTCACCACCTGCTGACTGATGCTCAGCCAGTCTCTGAGCAGTGGCAGCACCCATCCCCAGCCTACTGTCCCAGTTTTGTTGTTCAGCACGTTGCCACGTGATGGTATGGAACATCTCTTTGGACAGTTTAGGTCAGTTGTCCTGGTGCTGTCCCCATCCAACTCTTTGTGTCCTCCATTGCTGGCAAGGCAGTAGAAGAAGCAGTAACATCCTCAATTCTATGCAGCACTGCTCATCAACAGTTAAAATGTAGGTGTGGGTTTTTTGTTTTTTGTTTTTTTTAATTTTCCTCCTGAATTCAAAGCATGACCCCATACCAGCTTCTATGAAGAAAATTAACTCCATCCCAAAACCAGACTCTAACAACGTATACATGTATTGTTCAATTTAAGTTTGTGCTGTCCCTGTTGCAGCTCATTACTTATTATTACATCCCTCAGCCTCCCACTCCTTGTTCATGTCTAGTGCGCTGTCATGTCTCTGACTAGACTGCAAGAGTCTCAGACTGTGGACTTTCATTTTGTCTACAAAATCTTTAAGCATTGTAAGTACCCACAATGCTCTTAGCTGTGCTGTTTGTTCTGCCTTACATGATTTGTAAGTACATTAGGGAGACCTGTGGGAAAGTTGAGGAGGGACTTTTTTCATAAGGGCAAGCACCGATGGGATGAGGGGAAATGGCTTTAAACTGGAAGAGAGCAAATTTAGAGTAGATATGAAGAAGAAATTCTTTACTGTGAGGGTGGTGAGACACTGGAACAGGTTGCCTAGTGAGGCTGTGGATACTCCTTCCCTGGAGGCATTCAAGGCCAAGCTGGATGGGGCTTTGAGCAACCTGGTCTAGCAGGGGGTTGGAACTGGATGATCTTAAAAGTCCCTTCCAACTTAAACTGTTCTATGATCTGTCCTTTCTTTGCCTTTTCACCCTTCAAATACTCTTGTCCTAGCTATTGTCTAGCCTACCCACACTATCTCTATTGTCTTCAAATCAGCCTCCCCAGCCTGCAGATCATTGCTTGGACCACCTGACCTCCCTCTGACTCAGGACTTGCTTTCTAGCAGAGGGATGCCTGCGCCTCTGTGCACTCTTGCTGACATCTTGGTCTAGTCACCTCAAATGTTTCTTATCTCACCAATCTGATGAGATGCCTCCTCAGTCATTTCCTCCTGCTGCCACGTGGCATTGCGTGATTGTTTCCCTGACAGCATCTCTTCCTGCTCTTGAGCTTCCCACCTTTCTCTTCCCCAGTGACCTTTTCCTTGTGCCAGGAAACACAGTGCCTGCCCTTGGTAATGAAGTGGTTCTTGCACAACTTGGTGAAGGAAAGAGGAGACCTTTCTTCATTTCCTCCTCTTAGCATTACAGTTATACCTCTGAGAAATTTGCTTGTCCTCAAATAAAAATGTCCCCTAAAACAGAAGGGGAAGTGGATGAATCTGATTCCTCCAGATTTTACTGAATCATGAGGTTGAGGTTGACTGATAATGAAAAGGCGAACGTGTTATGTCATTATGTCAACACAGAAATGCTTGAGAATATAATTTCAGTCACTACCTATAAATGTGATTGAAGTCTCTCGTTTTTGACAAGAAATCTGTCTTGATCTCATCCAAAAAACTTACTTTTTTTTTTTTTTCTCCAATTTTACTACTGAAGGAGGAAAAAAGAAGTCTGGCAGGCACTCTTACAGGTCGGGACAGGCCAGGCATGATCCAGTGCCCCAACGAGCCATTTCTTTCCTCCCCAGCACAACTGCACAGCACATCTTTCTGGGAGGTCTCCACATATAATCAGCCCTCTCTGTTACCTGCTATGTACAATTCCATATTCTCTGTGTTCATTTAACACATCTCTTTAAACTGGTGCAGAATGCTCAGGATCAATGCCCTCTTTCTCTTAGCTCTTTAATGTGACTGATGAACAATTGGCTAATCCCTTCCCTCAGTATGAGATGAGATATACTGTAGTACCAAGTCCTTCTCATCCCTGCAACATGCCCTGACGCAAGATGGCTTTGGTCTTATATAGTGACAGAGGGATAACCAACCTCTGAGTGTCTTGCTTAACACAGCAGGTGTTTCTTTCACCCTAATTAAAAGGTGCCCATGATTGATAGGTGGGTGCATATAGGCCTTCTCTTTCAAGATCACAGTGTCTCAAAGTATCCTTGTAAATGCCAGGAAATCTTTTGGTGATATGTGTGTAACTGCTGAAGAAAAAAAATATATTATTGATGTTGTGCTGAATAAGCAATGAAGGCAACAATGGCTACTGACAACATGCCAGCTAGAGTATTTGAAAAGAGGCTATATTTCCTCATAGATTTGTCTGTGAAATAAGCTGTGGTTGCTGTGCACTGCAGCTGAGCTTTACTCAGGTTTAGGCTATCCTTTTCTTTCCTTGTTTTTAATACTGGTAATTTGGATACGTACATAATCATCCCCACCGTCGCTTTGTAGGCACTTTTTATTTCCTCTCTCATTCACATTATTTGGAAGTGGATCTGTGAGTGCTGCCTGAATATTTATATTTCTTGTATTTGTATTTTCAGCATCTTCAAGTTGGAATCAATGGAAAGACCCCAAGGAAATTATTTTTGGCCTCCTAGTTGTAAAGGAGTATGTTATGCAAACCAAACACACTTCTACTTCCTTTGCTGCAGGCTATTCCCCTGGGATGGAGCAGACCCATGAGGCAGGATGTCTTACAGAGGTCTTAGTGCACGGAGGCTATGCGATCCCCTTGTTACATGTATAAGCACTTGCATAGGTAAATTCTGCTTGATGGGAAGCAGGTGAAATGAAATGGGGAGGCAGGTTCTTCCCCTTCTTCTTCTTTCAGTGGGCAATGAGCCTGTGAGAGTGTGGGCTCTTGTTTTAATCATCTGACTTGCATTGCTCAAACTAAGCAGTAGTTAAGGCATAGCATCTGTAAAATCTGAGCCCAGGTTTTGCTTCTCCTTCATTAAATGTATGGTGGTGTGGCAAGCTGTTCTTCATAAACTGAGTCCATTTCCAATTTTTTTCATAAGCTGTATTTTAAGAACATTATTTATGTGTATAGGTATGACGCTTCTCACAAATTAGAAATGTCTCATAATGCTGATAAAATGGGGACTTAGAATGAAGAATTTCTTCACCTACCACAATAACAAATGTGTTGGATGTCTAACCTATGCTACACTGCAGTATATATTGATGACTGTGTATCATACTTCTAAATGTAATGAAGACAAGCTAACAAATCCTGTGCCTCTGGAAAAGCCATCCTTTGCAAATTCTGTCTATACATAATCTTAAACAGCATTCATACTGATTGCAAATACTAAATGTATTTTGTATATTTTGTAATGCAGAGGGAGAGAATGGCTGCTTGGCTGGATGACATTAGCAAACAGACCGTCCCTAATCTGCTCTTCAGCGCATGACCTACATCTTGTTGCTATCATTCCTCTTTTCTTTGAGTGAATAACTCTCATTTCATGAGGCTTTTCTAAGCAGAACCCATCCTTCAGTATGCCTGGTAAGTACCAAGTGCTTTTGGCTGTTTGCATTCTGATTCCTGGTTCCCAATGCAGAACCAACACAGATCTCCTAAAATACAGTATCATAAAAATCCAGCCACATTCCCCAGGACACAAAGCATTACTTATCTTAAAGCCAATAGTCAGGGCAGTACCGCAGTCACACACTTATCATATCACATACAGGGTAAGGCTGGGATCATAGACTGGAGCTGATATCAGAAGGGCTGTGTGATATTCACAGCAAAGCCAAGGCTGCCAAGTATCACTAGAGCTGTGAAAAGGAGGAGAAATCCCCACCAAATGGCAAACTATCGTGGTAGCCCAGCCTGGACATGCTTTGTAAAAAGCTTTTCTGATGTAAATGGTGTTCTTCAGGCTTTGAGGAAGCTGTCTGGGAAAATGACTGTACACAGGATTTTTGTTGTTACTTGGCCTGATGGCTCACTCAGCATCTTGGTGTCCTCACTGCCTTTTGGTTAGAGTCATGTTATTATGAGTAGATAATTGTGTATTTAGCTTGTAACTCCTTGGTTAAGACTACAATTTAAAATAATGAAGGAATTTAATTTATATCAGTGATGCTCCCCATATGAACTCAACGCAAGACTATAATAAACTCATTTATAAGTGACACATATTTCCTTCAAACCCAGCCAAAATGAAAAATATAAAAATGAGAAGAAATGACTTTCTGCACTTAGAGTGCACTCCAAAAAGAGGACTGAGATGGTTAAAATTGCATCTGTTGAGGCGTATGAGCAGTTGGCAAGTTTCTTCATAATTTTCACAGGCAAAATTAGACCAATTCAAGAATAACTGAGTCACAGGGCATTTTGATTGGATATTTCTTAGCAGGAATCTGAAGCAACATGTGCTTCATGAATGCTGTTGGCAAACATCTTAATGGTTTGTAATTTGATTTTTTGAGAACTAGTCAAGCTGAGGGTTAAGATGAGGTTCTTAGACATGGGAAAATTTCCAAAAGAATCTGAGTCTCCATTTACTAATTGAAGTCATGTCAGGAAGCATGTTTTAACATGACCTTTAGGAAGTTGTTTAATTTGTTGTTAATATACTAATTTTCTCTTTACCCTCCAGTATATACAGCAGTCTTACACAGACTTTTTTTTCTCTGTGCCAACACAAAGGCGGAAAAAGGAGCTGCTGACACTAACAAGGAAAGAAGGATGGTGGTCATTCCTGGAGAAGATGCCTCTGTCCTTAATAGCCTGACACAGCGAGGTGGCTGCCCACAGATTAGGAAACTGTTTCCAGAGCTCATCATCGCCCAAGTGAGGTGGTTGCCACGACAGGTCAGTCCCAGCACTTTCAGCCCTGCTGACTGGGGACTGAGTCAGGCTCTCCTGGCCCTGGTCCTCTGTGCACTGTGCCTCGTATTCATGACAGCAAGCTTCACCTGCTCTTGGTAAGATGGCATAAAACATACCCTAGTTTCTCATTTAAGGACAATGTAAGACATGCCCTGGTTTCTCTTAGGTGGCCTTTGCCTGAATTGTTCGGTTCAGCATTGCTTGCCTTAGTTCTGAGCACATCCCTCTGATCCTTGCTCCCTGACAAATCTCTCCCACACCTCTTTCCCGGTGACCAAGCTGAAGTCATAGAATCACAGAATTGTTTGAGCTGGAAGGGACCATTGAAGGTCATCTAGTCCAACTTGCCTGCAATGAACAAGGACACCTACAGCAGATCAGAGTGATCAGAGCTTCATCCAGCCCTTGATCTTGAATGTCTCCAGGAAGGGGGCACATACCCATGGCTTTCTAGGCAGCAAGGGCACATTGCTGGCTCGTGTCCAACTTGCTGTCAAGTCACAGGAAGGTTTCCTTCCATTGGAAGCATTAACCTGCCTGCTGGGTAGCACAGGGAGAAGCTGCACAGATACTAGGAATATCCAGTAAAGTCAGAATGCTCACAGACTGATTACCGTAATGGGGTCAAGTGCAAAGCCTGCTTCTTCACCAAAGTTGCCCCATGAAAATGCCCCAAACCTTAGGTAGAAATTTCTGTACTGAGAAGATTATTTAACTGGTTTTAGACTGGATATGAGGGAAAAGTTCTTTTACAATAAGGGTAATGAGGCACTGGCACAGGTTGCCCGGAGAGGTGCTGGATGCCCATCCCTGGTGACACTCAAGGTCAGGCTGGACATTATTCTGAGCACCCTGATCTGCTGTAGGTGGCCTTGTTTGTTGCAGGGAAATTGCACTAGATGATCTTTAAAGGTCCCTTCCAACTCAAACAGTTCTAAGATTCTATGGTTGTATAAGAGATAACTGTGCACACTGATATTTGCATATCCTAAAGAAATGCATCATAGCATTAAACTTTGTCTGTAGGATGACAACAGTACTGGGATTAAAAAAACAATCTAGCATATTGAAAATGGTGCAACCCACATAAATTAAAAAGAGTAAATGTTTCCAGTGTTGGCAAAGTGGGTGATTTCCATGTTCTCCAAGACTTGTGCACATTCATGTCAGTGTTTTTAATGACACTCAGGCTTGGGAGAGAAACCTTTGTTACAATTGGACGAGTTGTCCCACTTTTGACCCTGGGAGAAGCCCAGATACTGTGGGTTTTTGCAGGACATCAGGTGAGGAAAGGAAAGGCAGGAGATATTTGTTCTTCTGCATGTTCAGCAGTGTCTTGGAAGGGGAAGAGTCTGGCACTACTAGAAAGAAATTTATATTCTTTTGACTCTGCAAATGCACAAAGATTTATGCATGTGGAGCTACATATTACTTATTGTATGAGAACTAGCTAACAGGAGCAAAGGTGAGGCTCCTCAGGCATTTACCACAGATTCAGATGTACTGGTTAATTTTTTGCTGCCTTTTCCTGGAAGATAACAGCTCTTAACAGGCTGAAGGATTTTTAGGTAGCAGCTGCTGAGATGAATTGTAATATATAGTTTTGTTATGAAACCTGTGCTAGGCCATATCTGAAACAGTAGTGCTAGTTTGGCAACAGCTTAAGAACAGAGGTTTCTGGAAAATGGAATTCAGTCACGTAAGGCATTCTGATATCACAAAAGAGTGGGAGTTTAAGCACAGATTTAAATGAAAAGTTGACCTCATTTTTAGTTAGAGGCATAATAGTCTCATTTGGAAAAAGAAAAATAAATTTGAGCTATTTTTAATAATGATAAAATACGGAAATTCTTAATATATAGAAAAAGATAAAATTGTAAGAAATTGGAGCCCAGTGAGATGAAAAGTATCTAGCTTCTGCACCCAGCTGCTTCCTGAACATGGAATTATTTCAATTATTCTTCTGTCTCTTCTATCTCTCCGAACCATGGCTTGTTACTCCACAGCATATGTAGGGAATATATTCTCTTCGATACAGCATGCTCGACCACCCCCAACCCCCTCCCCTCCAAAATACAGAAACACAACACTATACTGAAGCAGCAGTGCTGAGCATTCTGACGTCTCATCTACATTAGCAATCCATCAGTGCACAGCAGTTGATCTGCAGAAAATTCACGCTCTCTGACTCGTGGTTTTTTTAGTTTGTGGAAAAAGAGCATATTTGTGGCTGGAGCTGGATGCAATTCACGTTCTCTTAGGCCAAACCGAAGAACAGTATCTGGAAGGGTCACCAGCAAGCCTTCCTGATCTGGATTAAGATGTTAATGCAGACGTGTCCTGAATATGAAGCTGACGTGCACTTACAGAGTGCCATCAGCTTGCATCATTAGCTGCTGAATGGTATTATATGCTTAGGGACTCCTGACTACTGAGTTAAAATATCCAAAGCATCCAATTAATTATTATTATTATTATTATTATTATTGGATCTTTGTTCAAATACAGCCAATGAGCCATATTCCCTATTATTTATTTGTCTGGTGTAATTCTCTGTAGAAACTATTAATGGAACAAATGTTACCTTGAAATAAAACACTGAACAGAATATGTGGGCTCTGAAACAGAAATGCATAATACTTAATTCTAGTTCAGCCTTCTTCCTAAAGCCATTGCTGCATAGCACAGGACTCAGACTGTGTACTCGTGGTAATTGCTGGTACTTACCTCCAGCAGTGAACATGGAAAACGATCCCCTTTTCTCAAGGCATATAATAAATGTTAAATAAGAACAGGGTCAAATTTCCTGCTGATTACTTCTTCTCATTCATTTACTGAACACGGGTGGACCAACATTCCACTTATGTTTTCTCACTCATTTACAGATTGTGCCTCGTACTTAAGGGCATTTCAAAAAAGTTGTAATGCAAAACGTAAAGGATTGGATTAAAAAAACAAATCAATCAAACAATAACAAAATGAAACACCACACGTGCACCAAAAAAAAAAAATAAAAAAAATCTGCAAATGATAGATAGCCAGCATTGTCGTTGTAAGAACAAGAATGTTCAATTTATCAAAGTAGGAATAATTAAACTTCTGTCAGTTCATGCATTATTTTGGTCAGAATTCAGGATTTAATAATTTTCTGACTCGAGCATTGTGTGGTTTTGTTTGTTTGTTTGTTTGTTTTGTTTTGTTTTTTAGTATTACAGAATCATAGAATCATCAAGATTGGAAAAGACTTCCAAGATCATCCAGTCCAACTGTCTACCCACCACCAGTGTCTCCCTGCCATGTCCCTTAGTAAAACATCTAAATATTTCTTGAACACCTCCAGGGATGGTGACTCAACCGTTTTACTGGGCAGCCTGTTCCAGCACCTGACCACTCTTTCGAATAAATTTTTCCCTAATATCCCATCTGAACTTCCTCAAGATGCAGCTTGAAGTCATTCCTTTTATACTGCTAATGCTTCACCTTGGAACACAAAACCCAAACCCCTCTGCTGTTGTAAGTAGTTGCCTGAGTTTTCTTCCCCTTGTAGTCTATTTTTGTTGTACTTACAAACAGACTAAAATATCTGTCTGCATCATGTTGTGGTAAAGCCTCATGCTATACTCATCCTTGGCTAGATTTCTTGCTGGTTTTGAAATGAGTGCTTATATTTCATGCTTAAATCAGCCAATGTGCTGTGCAAAAAGCAGACAAATTTTATATACCTATCTTGAAACTAAAGTCAAATTTTTAACACCTGGTAACTCTTAAAAAAACGTTATAACAATTTAGAGCAAAATCCTAGCCATTTTATTTGTCTGGCAGCAAAAATAATGAAGATCAAGGCGTTTTTATTTAATCATGAAAAACCAATCGTATTAGAATCGCAGAATCATTCAGATTGGTAAAGAGCTCTGAGATCATCCACTCCAACCACCAACCCACCCTTGCTACGTCCACAAACGACGTCTCTCAGTGCCACATCCACACGGTTCTTGAGCACCTCCTGGGATGGTGACTCCACCACTTCCCTGGGCAGCCTGCGCCACTGCCTCACCGCTCTTTCTGAGAGGAAATTTGTCCTGTATTATTGCAAAGAAGTAGCAAAATGTGTTGCTCAAGGCATCATAGATCCATAGATTCCAAAATAATGAAAAATTTCTGTTTCAAATTCTGTGCAAAATTTGCAGCACTAAAAGGACATTTTTTAAGCTGATTAGCATGTTGCAAGTAAGCTTCTTAAAGATAATGCATTTCAAGTTCTTCAGAGTTACATTTGTTATTTCTTTGTGAGGCAGACACTTCAAAGGCAAAAAGATAGCCTTCTGAAGTTAATAAGCAAATTTGAATTCTTTTCCCAGAAGATTCTAAATCATGGCATCCGTGTAGATTTATAAGATCTGGGTGTTTAACAAGAAAAATACCAGTATTCACATGTAGGTATTATTACCACTGACCTCTTTTCATAGGCCATGAAGTGCTGAATTTTATTTGGTAAATTGAAGCATTACTTATATTTTTTTATTGAGTCAAAAGAATTTTCCATCAAACCAGTATGACAGTTCTAAGAAACCGAATGGGAATTATTTTGTTAGTTAAGTTAAAAAGTTGGGTTAATGAGTAGTTCACCTTTTGAAACAATGTCAACTGAAATATTAAAAAATTCTCTTTTAAACAGTCACATCTACTTAATAGTCTTGGACACATTCTAGAACAACCTTTCCTATTTTACAGTAGACTGAACTTTTACTTCTAAGTTACCTGAGCGAACAAAAAGCAGTTCAGCCTAGACTGTATTTTTATTTGCATCTTTGATCAAATCTCCATATTCTTGGCAAGCATAGAATAGATGCCAAAGAAATCAGCAGCAGAGCGGATGACAAGCCGGATGGCATTCCCTGCTGCAGAGAGCATCTGGAAACATAAAAGAATTCTTAAATCACAGGTCGATGGCTAGCTGCAAGGACATCAATGGATGCACTACTTCAAAGTGCTGAGATGTAAAGCACGCCACACATAGACGAGAAAGCTGAAGAGTCTTGTGTGCAGGATGAAGCAGCATCTATATGTAATGAATGTAGTGAGTGCGGACTGATTAAATTCAGCAAATCTATTTCTAAGAAAATCATATTCTTGGAATACTTATCCTATGCAGCTTTTAAAACAGTTTCTGGCTCTCACTCTCTAAGCTAATCTGTACCTGACGAGTCACTTCCTTTCATCTAATTGTAACAAATATCCGGCTGAACAAAGAGACAAACCTTACTTGATTTTTGATGACAAATCAAAAGTGTGTGCGGGTCTTCATGAGAAGATTGAGCAGATGATGGCCTGTCCTGTTACTGTCTGAGAGGGGACATTTTATTTGCTGATCTAAGCGGAGATGTCTGGCTGCCTAGCCCATAATGAAGATGTGTGGGCGCATTTCTATCTCCTTCCTTAAGTGTAAAGCTCAGTGTTATTAGAGCTTTGAATTTGTCTTGCAAGGTTAAGGATCTAACTAAAGATTGCCTCTGGAAGTTGCCTGTGGAGGGTCTTTGTTCAGGTGGCCAGATCATTCTGCATGAGGTCTTAAAGTAGAAAGAGCTAACAGGGCCAGCTTGTTTTGTGGCATGTTTGAAGGGGCTGTGCTTGTGAAAATGAGTGTAACACAAAGAAATTAAATAATGAAATTCAAAAGTAAATATGGGAGGAGTCACACTTCTGAAACTTGTACCTGGGAAGAAGAGAAACACCACTCCGTGGCATGAAGGTGTCACAGGCACTTGTCAGCAGCATAGCCCTTTCTTTGTTGATGTTTTGTGTGATGCTAACATGACGGTGATGACAAGTCACCATTTTGCTGCATGAAACTATGTGGCAGTCACTTGGAATTCATCTACCCTGAGGTATTTACTAAACACAGTGAAGCTTACACATATCCTCTGGTCAGCACATTGAAAAGAAGTCTGGAAGCTTACTCACCCAAGAAACACTGTGTAATTGGGCACTCCAACTAACTCTGAGCAACCTCCTACACTGTAAATGATCAGTTTTATGATGTTTTAATGAAGCTTTTTTCTTTTTTTAGCTTAACTTTTTTTTATCTTTTTTTCTTCATATGTATAAAATCATACTAGTGATTTCCTGTGTATTTCGTACTCTGTGCCAACTGAGTTTTAACCTATCATTTCCAGCATAGATTAGAATTATCTTATCTATTTATACTTAATTACTGTTTTCTGAGAAAAACAGTAGTCAGTGGTACATGCACTGACTAATAGACACCACTGTTTTCTTCCTCTTGTTATTATACCTTTCTGGGTTATTGTTCCCTGTGAAAATAATTTTCAGCAGTAAGGGTGAAGAAGCACCAGCTTATGCTAATGGTAGTTTCTTTCAGATGAAAATAAGGAATTGCATAAGATGATCAGCAGTGACAAGGGGACATGTACAGCTTTGCCTTTATCGCAGGAGCCAACCTAAATGAGGATTTCCATGGCCAAAGGAAACATACATGTCCTCTATTCTCCTGAATTATTCACTATTTATCCTCCCTTATTGAAAGAAATTATCTGGATTTCACAACTTCTTTGCTATAGGGTGATCCTAAGAGGTAAACTATGGAGAAAGAAATGAGGACAAGAAGTAGTGAAAACTTTGTTCTCTGTTAATGCATTTTGAATGAAAACAACTCATGTGGTCCTTTCTTTTTCTGTTTAATGTAGGAGTACTGAAAATGAGCGTATGTATTATCTTAAATTGTAATTATAAAGAGCCTCAGTGCTAACACTTGGATATCTTGTATATCTACTTCTCTTCGCCTTTTTCAGCAAGAACAACCTTGATCTGAAGAGTGTGATTTTCTGAATTTAATGTAGAGCTTTTACAGTTTACATCTGGCATTCTTTTACTAGCGAGACTAGTATGTCTCACTATCATCAAAGCAAACAGCTACAGACCTGAGGGATGGAGGGATGTTAGCCCACCAGGATCTCAGCACACCTCCATCTGCAATGGCTGAACTGTGGGAAAGCCTGAAGCCAGACACAAAGCCAGAAGTAATGAAGCCAGCCAGCAGAGCTCTGGGGATACCTGCTGCAAATGTGAGAGTATCACAAAGCAGAGGTACAGTGCATCAGCGCTCTTGGCTCACCAGCCCATTGGAAAAACTCGCACTACGGTGTAACCACATTCAGAGAGAAAACAAGATTGAAAGAGAACCAAATATTTGAAAACAACCATCCAGAGGGTGCCCCCACTGATAGGCAGGATTAGATAGTGGAAATGCAGCATTAACTGGTAATCTGTGGGTGCTGGCAGCAATTTCGTAGCGAGTTCATTATTCTGCACAGTTTTGCTGTTGCAGTTACTGCACTCATCTCCTTTTTGCCTTACGCAATTTTTTTGTTTGCCTGTTTTTTTAAGTCTGAGGTTTTGAATCTGTTCTCATCTTCTTTGTTTAAACATATCCTTCATGCCTTCAGGTGTGCTTCTTGATCCCTTGAACTGAAGCTAGAAAAAAATTCTCCTGGATTAGCATCATGTTGCATCACCTTCAAAGAGGGTGGGAAAGCACAGCTCCTTCTCATAGCCTTTTGTCCCTGGATCCCTTCAAGTTTCTGCAGTAACTCAGTAGGCTGATTTCATTCCCATGGTCCTTCCAACATATGAGGTTTTTCTTCTCATTAATCTAATTCTGTCAGTTTAGGGGGAAAAGCTTTGGTAGTATTATTGAATGGGCAAGAAGCTGAATTCCTTGAAGTAGATTCCAGTGAAGTATAGAGTTTGCCGAGTGTCCTACTGCTGTTTGCAGAAACTTGTACTGTGTTTAACAGCAGATATATGTCACATGGAAATTAGTGCTTCAATGGAAGCTGGAATTAGATTTTGCCTGAATATATGTGATGGCTTTTGATTTGCGATCTTGAGAAGCAAAATGTTGAGATGGTGTCCAATTTAGACTAGAAAGCTCACAAACATTACAACTATTTTATATCATCTTCAGAAAATCTGGTCCCAGGAAGAATTCAGATGTTTCACAGGTCCTCTCTAGTTTTGCTTCTGGGCAGTCACATGTTCATCAGTGCTATTGCTACGTATTACTCTGCGACTCTTCTTGCTTTCTGGGGCCCAAGTAGTAGGTCTCAGGAGATCGATGTCCCAGAGCTGTCCTGGCGTCCACAGGGCATGAGTCAGTAGAAGTTGCTCACCTCTTGTTTGAGAAAGGGAACAGAAAGTGTGGTTAGGAAGATGATAGCTGCCTGCTTGGTTTTGTGCAATGTTTGAAGAGCAGAATTCATCTCAGTCCCAGCAGGTTGCCTTCGCAGAAAACGGAGAGGGAGCCTGGGCTCAGTGAGGTCTAGGGCATGATTCTCCTCCTAAGACAGATGTCTCGTACAGCTCAGGTGACCCACACCTGCAGCGAGCCCAGTTCTTTCTTCTGACTGTATAGTCAACCTCTTAAAGCCTTTGGTACTTATCTGCTCTGGGTCTCACACACATCAGGCCTATTACCTGCACAAAGTGGCTGTTGA